CTAACTTGTAAAGGCTAAAGTCTTTATAGCTCTAAACTTTAGAGATAGGTATTATCTAGTACAAATAAAAAAAGGTAAAAAATAAAAAACTATATTCTGCACTTATTATAAATATTATAAATATATAGTTATACTTTTTAGACTTACTAATGCACTAGCGACGTTTTAGGCACTTACAAATAATATTTTTAAAAATTAACTAAACATTACTGTTATAGCATACCTAGACAACATTCTAGTATTTTTAAAAAATAAAAATAAATACTAAAAATATATGTATTAAGTGCTCTAAAAATTACAAAAAGCAAACTTATAAGTATAACTAAAAAAATGTAAGTTCTATGCAAAACAAGTTAAATTCCTAGAATTTATTATTTAGAAAGGAGAAATTAAGCAAGACCTAGAGAAAGTTAAAGTTATTAAAGAATAGCCTATACTAAAAAACATTAAAAAAGTATAATTATTTATAAAATTCTATAACTTTAATAAAAGATTTATTTAAGACTTTTTTAAAATTTTAATTCTACTTACATAACTTATAAGAAAGAAAGAAACTTTCTAGTAAAACAAAGAAGAAAACAATATATTTAAAAAACTATAAGAAGCATGCGCTTCTACTCTAGTATTAATTATATTTTAATTAAAAAAAGTAATATAAATAAAAACTAACACCTTAGACTTTGCATTAAAAGCATGTATTATATTAAAAAAAAAAGAGAAAATAGCACTCTATTACTTACTACTTAAAAAAGTTTATATTAATAAAAGAACGCTACAATATCTACAACAAAGAATTAATAGTAATTATTAATTTAATTTAACACTAGAGGATCTACTGTAAAAGCTATTCTAAACTATTAATTTTTATAAACTATAAAAACCTTATTACTTTTATAACTATAAAGAATCTTAATTAATAATAGGTTTCATAGGCTAAGAAACTAGAACAGTATTAGTTTAAAATAGTATATATTTTAAAAAAAGACAACAGAAGAGCTAACGCGCTTAGCTAACAGACAGATATTATAGGTAAAAAAACAGAAGTATAATAAGTAATACTTTAAGAAAACTAAAATAGAACTATAAAACTAGGCTATTTCTAAGAAGTTAATATTACTATGTAAATTACTAATAATATACTAAAAAAATAGTAAGAACGCATTATACGCTAACACTATAATAACTTGCTATATAAATATCTAAAAATTAAACAAACTATAAAATATATATAAAGAAACTATAACTTTATAAATATAAAAGAAAAAGTTATATAGTATATTTAAGCTTATAATAAGTATAAGAAAAATAAACATAATATACACGCAAAGTATAGAGAAATGTAACTAATTTTAGTGCCTACAGCACCTTAAAAAGACATTACTATAGACTTTATAATAGAATTCTTTATATTATAAGACTCTGTTATAAACGTGTGCTACAACTTAATACTTATAATTATAAATAGATTTACTAAGTATGCACTTATAATTCTATTTTATAAAAACTACTTAGTAGAACAGTTAGAACATATTATTCTAGATAAGTTAGTATAAAACTATAGAATACTAAAGATAATTATTAGTAATAGAGACAAGCTCTTTACATCTAATTACTAGACAACACTAATAGTAATAATTAGAATAAAATAAAAGCTATTAACAGCTTACTATTTAAAAATAAACAGACAAATAAAATAAATAAATTAAACTATAATTACGTACCTATAGCTATACAGCAACTAGAACTAGAATAACTAGATTTTCTTACTACTTATAGCACAATTAGTATATAATAACAAGTTATTAAAAATAATAGGCAAAATACTATACTTTGTAAACTATAGAAAATATTTAAATCTCTTTAAAAAAACCTTACTAATAATAAAAATATAAAAAGCGTTAGAAAACGCAGAATAATATAAAAAAATATATAAAAAACTAAAAAAAAACATATAAAAAGTATAATAACAATCTATCTTATTTGTTAACAAAAAAAGAAAAATAGCACTTTAGCTAAAAAAGAAAAATAAAGTATATCTGTAAATAAAATTTTTTAGAATAAAACAACTAAGTAAAAAGTTAAATTATATTAAAGTTAAACTATTTTTAATTAATGCTGTTATTAGCTTAGTTAACTACTAACTCTAACTTTTAAAAAATGTAAAAATACACCTAGTATTTTACATATTACTGCTAGAACTAGCAAACTCTAAAATACTACTATAAGATACATTCTACTAAAAAAAAAAAAAAAAAATTTAAAGTTAAAAAAATACTACAATGCAAGTTAAACTGTAAAAGAAAAAAAATATTTAATAAAATAGAAAGAATACTTATATAAGGACAATAGTTAAAAACTAGAAACATATCTAGCAAACTATTAGCAAAAAATTAAATAATATAATAAAAAAAGGAAACTATTACTAATTTAAAATAACTAACTTTAAAAAGCGCTAGCTTTAGAAACGTGTAACATGCCTACTATGTTGTTAATATAATTTATAGTAAACTAAACTATAAAAAAAAAACTAATAAAGGTATCTACTGCTAGATAATTAATCTTCTATACTATTTCTAATTTCTTTTTATTTTTTAACTTAAAAGCAAGACATAGGGCCTTGCAACAAGCCTAATTTTTAGCTTACTTTAAAATCTTTTTATTATAAAAAAGATAAGCAATTACTACTAATAATACCTTTTTATCTTCTTTAACCTTCTTTTTATACTCTTTATAAGTATAATCTAAAGACTTTTAAAATATATTTATATAAAGTTTTTTTACGTAAACACACTTAGCGCACTTTAATATAGTTTTAAGTATAATATAATAATTATAGCCTTTTTTAGTATAATAAATATAAAAAAATTTAGTAATAAAGTTTATAGTAATAATTTCTTTGTAAAGACAAAGGTTATAAGCTCTAAAATCTAAAAACATAACAGAAACTTCTAAAATATGCTATAAGCAGGGCAAGCTTAGCTTATAAAGGTACAGCTAAAGAAATTACATAACTTAAGAACAAGTCTTAGAAAGGGGAGATAATGTTAGAATTAGAAGAAAGCCTTTAATTTAGCTTTTTACTTTCTCTGCTGCAAGCGCTAGTAATAAGAAAAATAAAGTTGCTAGTACTTATAAATAACTATATTTATAACTTAGCACGTAACTGCTTACTAGTAAATAATAAGCTTAACTTTATACTAGCTTCTTAGCAATATTACGCTTACTAATAAGTATACTTACTAGTAAGCGCGCTTGCTAGCAAGCACTAAATAACTTTATATATATAATTAGTAAATAAAAAGCTTTTATAGCTTTTTATATTTACTCTAAGTTATAACTTATTTTTTAGAAATATAATCTAGTTGTTACTTTATACTTTTACCTTTGTTACTTTAGTGTTACCTGCTAGTTATCTGCAAAACTTAACTAGAGATCTTTAAGACCTTAACAATATAATAGCTTACTTTATTTATTTACTACTTTTATATTTCTTAATAAAGTATTTACTTATAAGAAAATACTTATTTAGTAATATTTAATAATTTAGTATTTTTTATAAAAACTTTTAATATTTTTTTATATATTTTATTAATACTTATATAAGTATTTTTATATTAGCTTTTATTTAACAATTACTTAATTTATAAAGCAAGTTAACTTTAGTATTTTAAAAAAATAAAATTATTTAAAATTATATATTTTATTAAAATTCTATTTTATATTACTATATATAAATTTTAAATACTAGCGCCTTTTATTTACTTTACACTAAAAGTATTATTTATAAAATACTAGCTTATATTTAAATTAGTTTTTTATTTACTTTATTTACTTAGCTTTTATATAGCTATAGCTTAAACTAGCTTTTTTAAAAATAGTTTATACTTAGCTAAGCTAAGTAAGCTTATATAAAGCTTTTTTTTTTAAAAAAAATAGTTTAGTATTTTTTATTTTATTTTTTAGCTATATACTACTACTAAATTTTTTTTTATTAAATTTTTTTTACTTATATAAGCGCTTTTATATATTTAGTATTAATTAAGCTTATTATTACTATAGCTTTATTTAGTTAATTAACTTAAAGTTAATTTTTTAAAGTAGTGCAAGGTGCTATAATAAGTTATATAAAATAAAGTTATATTATAATTTAATAGTTACATTATAAGTTAATTATTTAATATAAAATAAATAAAAGCTAAAAAAAAGTACTTTACTTTATACTTTATTAATAAGTAATAACTTTAAACTTTTTTATTTATTATTTAACAAGTTAATTTAAATTATTAAGTTAAGGTATTAAAGTCTTTACCTAATTTATACTTAGCTATTTAAAATAATAACTTATTAGTTTTATAAACTATAAAATATATATTATTTTACTAGAAGCTTAAAGGTAAGTTTATTATATAATTTTTTAATACTTAGTGTTTATGCCGCATGGAAATGCGATGATTAAATTATAAACTTAATATATGTGAAAGTTATAATATGTATTGCTGTCATCTATACCTACCTAGGTAGGTAGGTAATGATATGTAATGTCATGCGAATGAACGTGGTTTCTAGTAAGGACATCTGGATCTTGGAGAGTTTGCTTAGGGTGATTGCGCAGCTCTACCCACGTCTGCTATTTACTGGGTGGGCAGCGAAGAGCGGTGGTTTGCTCCTATATAGTAAAATAGTTTTATGAATTCTGAGGTGGAGTTTGGGTGATCCTACACACAGCGAAGGGTTTGCAACGATAAAAGGAATCAAAATAACAGGCGGCAACTAAAATAAAAAGTACAAGCGAAGAATGTCTTTACACAAGCTTATTGCAATAAGCAAAAGTAGGGATTGGGGAGTAGCCCTATGGTGTGGACATAGAAGAGAACACATGAGCAGCAAACTTCCACACAATCATCTCGTATCTTGGCCTTGCACTATAGTTGTTCTTCCCGTTCAGCAGCAGTGACATATGGACTGGCATAGACGGACTTTTGACCTATCATTTTAGCGTTACAGACTTTTCGGTGTTTCCCTGCAACCCAGTAACGTAGGGATGGGAAAGCTACAGATCTCCCCATCCCTGCGCCCCTCTCTCTTTCTCTCGTACGCAAACAACCCCCGAGACATCATATACATGTGCATGACATGCACTGTGCGGAATACGAAGCGGAGACACCGACAGACGCTCGTACGGGCGCAAGGCTGCCTGCAGATAGAGGGTTTCAAGGATATCAAGGCTGCATATGCGTAAGTCATCATGCTTGTGTATGGGTACGTAATATCGAACAAGGTTGACGGGCAGTCTTAATGTAGTTCCAATGTGGTTCGTGTCTCCAGTGTGGAGTGCACTGCCAAGAGAAGGGTCCAAGCTTCTAGTAGCCTCTTACGCGCTCCTACAACAGCTTCAACAAAATCAACAAAAGGGAACAACCGTATACCAGGACACTGTAAGACTCACAGAAAGCCTCGCGCAATGGCACAGCCTCCTGGAGACGAAGACCATTTTCTCACCTCGCCTTTCCCAGCCCCACCACCGTTTTATAAACATTTTACAGCCGCCAATATCTCCGCTCTCAAAGACGCCCAAGAAAAGCTCGCAGCCGAAGGCAAAGATGAACTCAGCGGCGGGTACAAGACTGCTCCCCCCAAAAAGCAGAAGGATGCTTCTCCGTTCCCGACAACGCTCACTCCAACCCAACTCCTCGATCTCCCAGCTCCCCTTCGCGAGCAACTAGCGTATCTAATACCACCCTCACCTCCCACACCCGATGTCGAATATCGCGTTTTCGGGAAACCTACCAAGCTGGGGGGTGACGATCCATTCGAATACATCATGCAGTATGTGCGAGATCGACTTTGGAACCCCGAAACGCAACAGGGCACCCTCCCGTTCTGGGAATACACACGCCTATACCCATCCCCATCGGCGCCCTCATCGCTCAAAGCCGACAGCAACGAAGCGCAAGTAAACACCACAACAGAAATCGAAGCTTGGGGCTCGCTAGATCGGCAAAACTACCTCTTCCGCTTCCTGCGCTCAATATTACTCAAACATATTGAGCTTCTCGGCATCTTCGCGACTGATCCTACCGCCCCCGCTACACCCTTGCGCGTCGTGTTTCCAGACAACCCTTTCAACCCTGGCGAACCAACTTATGACAAAGCGAAAGACAAGGTGCTGCGCGACATCCTGACGCTCGTTATGAATATGCACGCCCTGATCAACGAATATCGTCCGCACCAAGCGCGCGAGACGTTGATTCGCGTGCTTGAGGGCCAGGTGGAGCGCAAGAAGGCCGAGATCGAGGGCGTGAAGCGCATGTCTGGGAAGATTGCGGAGGCGTTAGAAGAGCTACGGAGTGCGGGGGATCAAGGCGATGTGGACGTGGAGATAACGGAGGATGGGGTGGAGGTGGATGAGGAGAGGTTAGCTCAAAGGGATATGTGGACAGTTTTGGATAAGGAGTTACTTTGAGCAAGATGAAAAATCATCTAGCTGTGAATCTATGTCCGGTGTAATCATCTCGAGGGCGCGAATGTGGCGGTCCAATGCTTATATTCTTCTGGTGAGAATTGTCTGGACTTTGTATGATACCTAATGATACTTCTTTTCGACTTAAAAGCAATCAACAATTTCCATGTTACTTTTTTCTCCTTTTCCCTTTCAATCTTCACTCTAAATCTGAAAACCGACGAGAACAGGTTCTGACTACTGCTACTTCTTAGAAACATCATTCATGATGAGTCGAGAGATAGAGAAAGCTGGTGAGTTCGCGGAGTACGGGTAAACATCAGTGTAGAGGGAAGGTGAACGAGTGGGAAGTCAAGATGAGCCCTTTCTGCTGCTCGTTATTGTACGAGGATCCGATGATCGCAATTGGCGATGATACTTAGATGTACATATGAATAGCTATCACTCAAACATAAGATCGATACTTCATTCGTCAAAAGTTGTTGGGTACGCGAACATGTGTCAGTCTTAAAGACCTGAGATCGTTGTAGGTAGACACAAAACTTCACCTTCTCTCTAGGAAAGAACATCAACGTGTTGATCCAAATAATCTCAAGATTCATAGCCATAAAATATCTTACACGCACACATACATGTATATATCCATTCTTCGTAGATAGACATGCCCATCGAGGCTGTGTAATCCTCCCAGTATTTACAAGCCCAAAGATAACCAATTCTATATACATATCACATTCCGGCTTCTGTTTCGTCCCTTTTTGCCTTCTTTTTATTTCCTTCGGATAGGCAGCAAGCTCGTTTGCAAACAGCAAACAGCGACAACAGCGACAACGACGACAAGCAACATGGGTATCATACCAAAAAATACACGACAGCGATAGCGGTAGCAAGCGATGAGAGCGGGAAATGTACAGCGGGGTAAAAAGAAGAAAGACTCGATAATCGTAAGGCGCAGCCTGACGGATCAAACGAGAACAGACGTCGTAGAGGAGAGAGAGAGAGAGAGAGGTGGGGAATCCGTGAAAATGAAGGAACCCAAATCAAGGGGGAAAACAAAAAGAGCAAACTCCTCCGTATTTTTAATATTACTCCAATAAGATGGTGAAAACGAGAATGCGAAAGAAACAAAACTTTCGAGGAAGCATAAGACGGATTCGTTTTTTCACTGCTTCGCTGCCCCAATGTGATCGAAGGGAACAGGCATGACAGCCGGCGAGCCAGCGCGGTGGTTGGCGCCTGCATCCGCACGGTACGTCGTCGGTGGAGGCGCTACGTGGTCGAAATCTGGCACTGCCCAGCCTTGGCTGTATTTATCTTTATACCGAGCATGGGTGTTGTCCTCCGGGTTGTCGAGGCCAGCGAGTGGGTTTTTATTGCTGTTATTGCCGAAGGAGTGCGTGGAAGACTTGTGAACGAGAGATTTTGAGTCGTCTTCGGACTGACGGGAGTGGGCGTGGCGGAGGGAGAGAGGCATATCTTTTGAGGAGGAAGACGAGTTCTGTTGGTGATGGTGGTACGACTGGCGGTGGTGACGAGAGAGGGAGCGAGCGAGGCGGGAGGAAGGCGAGGTGGTTTGCGTAGTGGTGTTTCCTTTGATATCAGCGCGGCTGGTGCGGCCTTCAATCTCGCCGACGGTAAAGTCGTGCGCTTTGTCGACTAGATCGATGTGCTCGCTGCGGCGCTCCGAGCGGACCTCGATCTCGTTGACGATAAGGATCTTGCTCGAAGTGAAGGACGTGACGAGCGGCCAGAAAATGGGGATCGAGGCGCACATGATAGCTACGTTGATTTCGAGAACTGAGAAAATGTAGACGGTTGGGGTGGAGTAGGTTATGTCGAAAATCGGTATCGTGCCACCCTTCTTGTGGCAGAGGGACGCTACACGAGCAATGGCGAGTGAGACAGCGCTGAAAGCTGGTTAGAATTGGTAGTGAATTGGGGGGTTTGGCGTGCACTTACATTCCTCCCATGCCGAAGAGGGTCATGAGTCCAAGCTTAGTCTTTCCGCTCATGCGTAGGTCTCTAAAGAAGGGTATAGGAAGTCCGAGGACAAGAATGTCGAGAACCATATTGCTGGCGGCGTGGCCCAAGAATGTGGCGAAGAAATCGTCGGTGTTCTTGCTACCCCAACCTACGCATTTGCCGGGCATATCCTTCCTCCAGAAGCTGGAAATGGGGCTGCAGGAGAAGACGGACAGCATCGTGAAAGTGAATCCCCACAATGCGATGAAGGTGAGCAGACCAAGAATTAGTCGTCGGGCTAGTACGTGCTTGGCTTCGAAGAGTCTGAGATATTGAACCAAGATGGCGATTTTTACACAAGTAGTGCTGAATGCGTAGGTTATGTTGGTCGCCCAGATGTGCTGAGTCGGGTCAGACGAAGGTTCTCTCATGCAAAAACGGATAACGATGTAACTAGCAACTTACTTTGAAAAACATCATGCGCTGCTCCGCAGTGAGGGTCCACCAATGTTTCCCCAATCCATCATCAGGCACTGAGGGAGGTTAGTCAAAACGAGCAGACGGCAAACACGGGACACACTAACTTTGACAGATGAGAATGGATCCGATGGTACATCCAGTAGCAGCCAAGACGACAAAGGCGTCGTCCCAACCCCATATTCGTCTTCGCCATCGAACGAAGAGTCGTAGTAACGCTGCTGTCAATGCGACTGTCTGCGGAACTCATTAGTACGCCGTAAAGGTCACGAGCAAAAAGAACAGGACGTACGAGGAAAGCGATGGAGACGCCTATGATGGTTTCTTTGCGGTTTGAGATGGGAGGATTCGAGTTATCCGGCAGTGTCGCTAGGACCTCAGGAGATAGTGGTTGCACCGACGGCATATTGAGTCGGTGGACGAGACTATCGCCGGTAGTGATGTGAGAGAGGGACCAGAATTGAATGCGAGAGAGCAGACAGGTTCTCCGGTGTTTGTGGTATTAAGCAGATTATTAGGTGGGTTGTTCTAAACGTCGGGCATGTCGGTGATGGAGGGCGATGATGGGGATGATGAGTAACCGGAGAGGGACCGTTTCGCGATAGCTATGGAGGCCGGCAAGGAGCAAGCACGTGGTGGAAAGAGTGGAGTCCGGAACAAAAATCGAAAGTGAGACGAGGAGAAGTGGGTGAGATAAATGATGAGTCCCTCTTCTGGATTGGCGGTCCCGAGTAGTCGCAGTGTAGACGTAGCAGGTCAAGATGGGAATAGAGCCGGGGTGTTTTGGAGGCTGCCACACCTAAAGGGGATGCCCACTGTACCGGGTCAGCAATAGGGAAGCAGAAACATGCCACAGAACCCTGTCCCGTCCCTTAGTTGCAGGGCCGCATGGCGACGCTGTGGGTGCTCAGACCGAGTCGTGGTCACACGCCGCCGGAAACTCACCGGGGTCCGAAGAAGAGAAATGCGCTGCCCATCCGCCGCAAGAGCACGGTGTGCCATGTAGGATTGCATGGTGGACGATGTATTTATTATTTATTGCATTGTCATGCCCGCGCTGGACATGTGGCCCATGAATCCAACCTGGAATCGTGAAATGAGCAACAGACTGGCCGTGTTGTGTAGTGAGATGCGTACATGTTTGGTAGATAGAGTACGGTATACTAGTCACGGCCATGTTTCGGCGTGACAGACGCGAAGAACGAGATGAAAATACCCCTAGAAGCGCGGCCCGTACACGATGCAAGTTACGAACACACGGCTGACGACGGGCGGGTCCTTCCTCCAGACTGTCTAATAATGAGAACCGCTGTGGTGCTTGCTTTCTGTGCATGATTCATCCATACCATCATCCACCCTCCATCGTGTTTCCCGTAGAGTGAGATGGTTGCCGTACGATATATATGATGCGTTCGCCACTCGCACAATGCGGGGGCGCCACTCCCCCTTACCATCGCATCGCCGTGTGTGTGATTGCATCGCGTCGCATCCCACCTCCTCTCATCACACCAGCTACAAGTCGAGCGTGCGTGTGCAGATACCCCCCCCATGCTGTTTACTCCGAGGAACTGAAGCTGGCGACAGGCAATGTGGGATGGCGAACTTATCGCAGACGTCGTTTAGGACTGGGATCGGGAATCTAACCAATGCGCACCAACCGTTGGCGCACACTTTGGGCAATAGAACCGTTGGAGCATGACAGTGTCGTCTTTGATGGCACCCATGTCCTGTCACCACTGGCCCGTTTCACGCTGCGTGTGCTGGAGGGTAACCTCGTGGGCTCTTTACTTAGACCGTCTGCTAACGAACAGAAGCGAAGGATCATCAACGAACTAGCCGCTCCAAATTTCACCTTCTCCTGTTTTCCTTTACCTTTCCTGCGTGATGCGCATTCGCTCCTTGCAACGAAGCTGCTGCTGGCGACTCAGGTCCTACCTATAGCAACAAGCCTATCAGTGATGACGAGTGACGACGAAATGAGATTGTGTGATGAGAACGCTTGGGAGTTGTCCTTGCATATTACGTCGTGAGACGCTATGTACTGCAGTCGGCCTGCAAATCCACTCGGCGCAGCCGTCATGTTAGGTATGGAGAACGAGCCACCAAGCATGCTGTTGGCTGACGCGCAGAAAGCACTCGCCCTGGACCACTGATCAAATTGTACACAGTAGCGACATGTAAATTCCCGTATTACAGGAACTAACATACTACTAAGAGTCTATACGAGCTACCTTTGAGAGTAATCTCACGCCCGAATTGCAACGGACTCAACTAATTACCTCGTAGTAGTTGGTAATAGTTGGCTTGGACGAGAAGCGATCACGTGTCTCTAAGCAACTTGGAAGCTATTCCTACTGCGTAAAACCATCTGGCCTTAAACTTGGGGTGCTCTTCTCTAATCAATGTCCGTCACCGAGCTAGTTACTCTATCTATCAGCGAAGTCCGGGTCTGTGCGTCAATCCTCTTTTTCTCACCCTGCTGCCAAGCATGGGTCGCCTGAATCGTGTCCACTCTCCGATCTTCTCTCTCGTGATGAAGGATGAATACCTCGATGGTAATCAGGCGGGACACCAGCGGGTGAACTACGGTCTTTTGGTCGGCCTTTCTTTTTTCTCTTCTTCGAACCAATGGCTTTTTCCCTTTGCACAGGAATAATCAACGGCTTTTTAGTGGGTACTTCACGTACTAGAAGGTTTCGAAGGTTCAGCTAGTGTCTGCCACTGTTGGCGTCAACTCGGTAAGTGACCTGTAGTTCGTTGCTAGTAGATACTTTAGGGTACATTATCCATGGATAAGAGCCCGCTTGTGTAGATCCGGACACACCCATGATTATTGGTTGGTGTTGGTATTGAGTCTAGGACTTCAAAAAGAATTGATTTAGTCTTTCCTCCCGAGTGGACTCGGGAATCGGGAATCCTTTACTGTATTCGCTCGCTTACGGTGTTGTGTCTATGCGACACCCACTTTACATAGCCAACCATTGTCGCTACTTGCGGAAGGAAAATCACCTTTGGCGGTGTGTGTTGTGTGTGCAGGTTATGGATCCGGCGCACGAGAGTATACGACCGCCACTCGCATGATGGAACGTAGCCTACATACTTGACAACATTTTCCTACAGATCCCGTCCGGTGTGGAGTACATGCGCAGTGAAACAAGTAACCCAGGTGCGGTAACCAAGATCTTCAAGCGATGCAAAGTCTGCTCACCTACCTAATCGATCTGATCAACTCGTATCTACTGCACGTCAGACCTGTTTCTCACCACCATGTGTGAGATGTGTTACATACTTGCATGCCTATACACAAGCCCCAGTTAAACCCCGCAGTACACATGCTAGCTAGTCTGTTCAGATACGTATTACGGATCCATAGTCGTTTACTACGCAAACGGTAATACAGCCCGGAAAATCCTTCGAGAAGATTGAGGACCTACGCGAGTCACACCTGACACATATGGTCGCACTACACGGTATATACGTCCGGTTTACCCACATCTGAAACTCGCAGAAAGCCTCCGTCGTTTACGAGCAGAGTCTCCTAAACCGAGCCCGCATTCTCCTGTGATTTAAGCCGCTTTCCCCAGACTTGTCCTCGGACAGATTTAAGTGCGGATTAGATGAGTCAGAACTCAATTCTCGTTTCTCTCCTCCCGCCATTCAGCCTTTCCCGTCTTATGTGCAGTAAATCCACGTGAGCAAACTCTGAACCTACCTATGATTTTTGGTACTCAATTCATAGTGCAACGGAAGTCCTTGGGGACTGAGTGACTCTACAGCCATCTTCAATTAAAAATATTGAACTAACAGACGAGACTACTAGAAGATGGTGAGTATCTCATAAAAGCTTTCCGTGTAGAATTCAGCTAGAGCCAGGTAAGTGTGCTGTAATTATATAGAGGTTATCATAGTACAGTGTAATTGGCCAGGTGTTGGTCCGGGGCGACGATGCAACAAGAGCAATTTCGAAAATAAAATACAACAGACATAGATAGAAGGGAACCAATATAATTACTAGAGTACTAGGCCTCCCGATTTACTACCCCCCGACTAGTCCCCCGAACGGTTGCTCACCATTTGTCACCCCCATCGTGTTACCATTATGTACTTTCAATTAATAATTCACAAAGACCAATTCTCCTCACCCTGCAAGTTGCTTGTTCATCGTCCCATGATCTTACTTCTGTACAGCTTTTAGCGATACACTGCCGCTAATGTCCACCATGTCTTCGACTTTGTCGCGCCCTCGTCATCAAATCCGCCTAGAAAACCGAGATCAAAGACACTGCCCGACCAAGTCTCACAGACGGTCGTATCATTGTCAAGACCAAAGCGGTCGTCCTGATTCCCATTGACTGGGAAACGCCATTCAATCATTGCAACGGCTTCTCCTCATGGTAGAACTTTGATCTCGTTACAAAACTCGGTGCTGTCGAAGTCTTCGACTACAAAGATCCCGAGTACGCGAGGCAAGATCCGTGCCCCTATCAAGGGCTCCCTCTCGATTATTTTCAACATTATCTTCGAAGGAAACTCGGCCGCTATCTGCGCCGCTGCCTTTGCCGCAAACGGCGGGCTGTACGCCACATTACTCGTCGGTGAGATCTTCCATCAATCAGTCGTTATATCCACGTTTACACTGGGATATACGGGTTTGAACGTTGGCTTCACGGATAAATTCTCAGCTAGTCAAACAGATTTCGTTTCGCGGCCTAATCCTGGAGAACTAGCTAGAACCTGATCAACCAGGGAAAGTTCGAAACGCATCTATCAGAGGACGAGAAGGTGGTTTGGATAAAACAGGTCTTGTTGGCCTTCAGGTGGTGGAGGTCAGCGGGGTTAAATAGGCGTACACAGTTGATGAACTGCGGCGATCAGAATGATGGAATGGGAGATTATAGAACACGAGATGGTTTTGTGTGATGTTTTGTGTAGTCGGATCATCGTGAACCAGGGAGTTTTAGATTCAAAGACAGGATAATTTCATTTTACGTTTGCTATCTGTTGATGGCTCCGCTTTTGTTTGCTTCAATCTAACGTGCACGTGTTCACCGTACAAACCCATCTGGGCACGTGCGACAGCCAATTTCTTGAATCTACAATTCCGACGTCAGCCTCATCATTAGACATCAATCTCATCTACATTAAATAGATTTGCGTGGAAATAACCCTGACATGTAAACTCCATCTCCTCATTGTGTGTAGCCATGGTGGCGTTGCAAGGCCTGACTACGCTCTGCGGACACACTGACTACCAACCCCCTTGAGATTTAATTTCATTAATTTTCAAATGCCATGTCAACTGATCGAGCGTATCTACTTTCACGTACTATGTAATTCTTCGAATAGCTTCTTATGCGGTATATGCAAAATCGAAAAGTTGCCAAGAGACCTGAAACCAGGGTACACCCAGTTTGACGCCAGTTGGGATCATGGTACTCCAATGCTATCTTTTGACACTATTCAAACAAGCACGGTGATTCCCACTCTAGCGATCTAGCTTCTACGGCGTCGAACATAATTGTTGCAACTAATACTCTGTGAGGAGGGAATAGTCCCCTGCTGCGGCGCAGTCGCCTAAAATTGAGTAAGCGACCCTACTTCAAAGTCACATTGTCAACCTGATTGTTGCACCATTAACTTCCGTTCGCTCGTCAGCAAAATAAAGCACGAAAAGAAATAATTGATAGGCTAGCATGAATTTCCAGCCATTCATCGAAGTCTCTGGCTCGACTACCATCACCCTTGTCACCACCAGCCTCAGTGTTGTGTGTATACGTCTTTCTGATTGCGAAACGAAATTTTGAGGCTAACGTTAATTATAGATTTTTGCTTATGCCTTAACACGCGTGATCTATCTTTTGTACTTCCATCCACTATGCCATTTTCCGGGGCCAAAACTCGCCGCCATCTCCAATCTCTGGTACGCCCATCACTGGTTGTCCGGAAGGTGGCCTTGGGTGATCGAAAACGCATTGCACACGTACGGTTCGGTCGTTAGGATTGCGCCCAACGAGCTCGCTTTCTTCACGCCTCAGGCCTTTACCGATATCTATGCGCCGCAGCACAAAGGGCTGGAAGCATTTGTGAAGACAGACTTTCAAAATCGTGGTAAAGATCTTGGAGGCCTCATCTGGGAAGAGGATCCCGTGAAGCATCGTCAAGTGGCTAAGAAAATTGCCCCAGCGTTCAGCGCCCGATTTCTGCGAACTTTAGAGCCTATCATGCATGAGCACATGGACTACTTTGTAGAAAAAATGATACAGATCTCTAGAAGTGACGAAATCACAGGTGTACCGCTCGGAAGATGGACTAATTGGTTAGCTATGGATATGTCGGCCGACTTAGCATGGAACGAGAAAATGCATCAGATGAGAAACAGTAACATTTTACTCTCCGAAGTCAGTCATTGTGAAGCATACTGACGATAGACGACAGTGAAAGATTCGGTCAATTTGGACGTATTGCTCAGCTTCAATTATTTCTCGACTGTGCTTCAAGTGTTCAAGCGCTTTCCACTTATCCGACCACTTCAATACCTGTTCGCGCCATTTGGAAAAATCACTCTATTTGCCCAGATGGAGAAAGCAACACGGGACAGTGTGCTTGGTCGCATCGGTATGTTTGAGGATTTTGCATCTCGCTCATTGATACTTGCAATCATGATTTCTCATTAAAAGGCCATTTCGGCTGAGCTTATCACACGATCTTGTTCGTGAGAGACTAACAAGTGATAATAGCCAAAACAGGTCGTACAGAGCACTCAGACTATTTTGATTACATTCTACCTGCGGATGCTCCCCAACCGAAAGATGAAGGGGAATTACTTCATATAGGATCGGTCGCGTTGCAAGTTATGTTTGCCGGATGGGGCCCTATGGCAGACCTCTTCTACGGTGTTCTCGTACTTTTGCTGGAGAATCCCGAGACATTACAGATCTTAATTGAGGAGGTCAGAACAAATTTTGCAAAGTACCATGAGATTGGGATAGGGCAAACACTGTTTTCCTTGCCATATCTTCACGCCTGTATTGAAGAGACGCTGCGTATACTTCCTAGTAATAACACTGGTTTGCCACGAATTAGTCCTGGAGCTGTGGTGGATGGAAAATATATTTCCAAAGGGGTGAGTAGAGATCTCGAAGACTGTTCAGTCCTTTCTGTTTCGCTATTCTGTCTTCATTCTTGAAACGTTGGATAACTCGCATCAGTGCTGACTCCGATCACACAGAGCCATGTACAGTCTTGCATTTGGGCTCTCGGACGGCATTCGGACTATTTTCACGAGCCACTTCTATTTAAGCCGCAGCGTTGGCTACCCACGTCCCACCCATTGTACGACCCGGCATTTGCGAACGATCACCTCAAGAGTCTGCACCCTTTTAGTCTTGGTCCCAGAATCTGCATGGGAAGAGAGGCGGCGTGGGCGCAGTCGAAGCTATTCTTAGCAAAGGTTCTCTGGAAGTTTGACGTGGTTGGGGTAAAAGGACAAAAAATTGATTTGGAAAATGATCTGCTTCATTACGGGTTCTTCGAGAAGCCGGAATACCAGGTTCAATTTCTTCCTGTGTTGTCACGATGAGAGATGTCGCGTACGGCAACTAAATTGAGCGCATTTGACGTAGTGACGTATACGACGTCCCAACGATCCAGTGGAGATGTACGGATTTGTAGTGTTGAGGTGTTGAGGAGTACGGCAACTAAATACCAAGCTTCATATCTTTTTCTACAGTTCCCGATATAGAATTACATCATTTTACGATTAAAAACATGCATAACATGCCTTTCTCAAAGAGCGCGATACGATAGAAATCATGAGGGAACCATGGGTTTCGCCAACCCGTAGGGTAACACTGAATACACCACCAGAATTAGATCACCCATCTTTCTCATCTCTCACACGCACAATAACCTTTCCCTTGGCCCTCCCGGTCTTCAATTTCTTGAAAGCCTCTGTAGCATCTCCGAATTCGAAGACGCTATCCACCACTGTTTTGACCTTTCCCTCTTCCATCCACCCCGCGATTCTCTCCAGGTCTTTCCTGCTCGGCTTCGCCAAGAACACAGCATACTTGCTTCTTCCACCTCCCAAGAACGCAGGCAGAAACGTGTTTCCCCCAACCCTCTTGAAATCGCCCAAGTTGAAATTCGCCCCAATTTGTTCAAACTTGGCGTCCTTCTCCACCAAGAATGCATTCGAAGCCCAATACAGGTTCTCTGGGGTCCCCACATTATCCATGACAAGTTTATACACCTTTCCTTTTTTCTTCATCTCTTCCACAACATCGACCTTTGTGTAATCCAGCACCTCGTCGGCCCCCAGACTCTTACAAAGCTCCACATTCGTAGCCGAACAAGTAGTTGTGACAAAACACCCCAAGGCTTTCGCGATCTGGATCGCAAACACGCCCGTGCCGCCGGACCCACCGTTGATGAATACCTTCTCGTTCTTTCCCTCGGAAACGTTTGGTACAATGGCCTGAAACGCAGTCAACCCCGCCACACCAATCCCAGCAAATTCGTCCATGTTGGTAGCTAAGCTGGACGGAATTTTGGCCACCATTTCGCGTTCGACGATGATGTACTCTCCGAGCGAACCGCGCCCGAGTTTGCCACATAGAGAGCCAAAGACTGCGTCGCCGATAGCGAAGTCTTTGATGTCGGAGCCCAGTTCAGCCACCGTACCGCTGAAGTCCTGGCCTGGAGTGAAGGGATCTGGGAGCGAGATGTGTGCGAGGAGTCGGGTTTCGGGGACTTTGTGATCGGCTGGGTTGATGGAGGCGGCATGGACGCGGACAAGCATTTGAGAAGGGGTAGACAGGGTGGGCTTTGGGGTCGTGGGCGGAAGATAGAGTTCTTTTTCGAGTCCGGCGGAGGAATTGCGCGGGGCGTGCCATGCTTTCATGGTTGTGGCCATCTTTTTTCTCTTTCACCTTCTTTCCTATCTTCTTACTTCTCTGGCGATTGTTGATGCGCGTACTGGAATCTTTTCCAGTCGCGATTATGTCGTCGGGCGATCTCTTCCCTCCCTTGTGGTATAGCTACCTACTTCCCGATTTAGTGATGCTAATTATTCCTTTCCTCGAAGCCCCCGGCCCTTCTCTTGCAATCTGGTTCGCCTGAGATCACCCAGAGGGTAGTTCGGTCAGTCAAATAGCTTTATCTATCTCTTGATAGAGGTCGGAGACTAGAGTTTCACGGAGTCTCACAGCTAAGAGCTTGAACCTTCCGCTTTATGAGCATTCTGACCTCGTTGCGCACTGACGCGGAGTGATGTAAAAAGATTGAGCCCCGCATGCGCTAAGCCATATGCGGAATATCAGCATGTACTTACTCGTGAGCCATCCAATAGCAAGCGCTATTGGAAGCTTACTCTGTGCAATAATCCTTTTCTGCACTGTCATTTGGTCGACCTGTGTTGATAATCAATCTCTAAAGCGAACGTCCCAGTGCATACCCTTGCTAGGGGTACGAGCAGAGCACTGGAAGACTTGCTGAGGTGTCTGTTATCGTAGTATTGATCTATACATCTACATTGTGCGGGAACTCGCGGTGACTTCACTCTCTGTAGGGACACACTACTGACTTGTGCGCTACAGCATAATACATCACAATTGCCTGAGTTGACTAAAGTTTGAAAGAAGGGTCAAGCGCATGTGGAAACGTCCCTGTGTCTGATGCAATATTTTCTATCTCAACCCGTTCATTCATTATCGAGTCCTTGTACCTATCTGTAGTCCCTTTTTTTTTGAGCAAGAACAAGCTGAGTCGCCTGCTCCGCTCACATGATGGGACATCTAATGGTGGTGGCTGTTGATCACAGTAATTGATGATATTCACGCCACTGGCTGGAGACAGACTCCCAGGATACTCCATTCCAGGGTTGGAGCTTACAAGTAAAGCGGCAGATAAACACCAACATCTAATCATTCAGCACGATTAGCTTTGATTTTGCATGACTTCATGATTTTAAATAGCACCAGAGGATCTCTGCTCATTACACTACAGGTGCACATCCTTCTTTTGTAAGGTGTCTACCATACTCTTTTTCTCAGTGGACTGCGTCTCGCAGCAACATTCGCACTTGCACTTGCCACCGCAACTCCAGAGCTCGTAGACTCAGGCAGAGGCACGTACGGCTCAGTATGCGTCGCCTTGGCCGTTCCGTTCGTTGAATAGTCATCCGTAACAATACTACCCCCGTCAGCAATGACCCTATGCTCAAGTACACGCTTGAAGATCTCTAATGAAGCTTCTGGCTGGTAGTAAGGAATCTCATGACCGGCCTCGTAAATTCTCGTAAACGAGAAGTTTCCATATTCGCGCACCTCGCCGTATTCGGTACCATCGACGACAAACGGCGTGTAACCCGCGGCGCGGAACGCTTCAGAATCTGTGTAGTTGATGGCAAGCGAGACAGCCTCGCCGCCGAACCAATTGCAAATGTAGTCTGCATCCCCGTAGATAAGAGCCACGCGCACGCCGTAGCCTAAAATCTCCTCGAGGTCTTCGATAAAGTTGGGGAAGATGAAGTCGCCTGTGCTCTGGAAGCCCCAACCGACTTCCTGCGAGTAGCCGTCATCGGTGTAGTTGATGTTAACACCGATTTTGTTCTGCGTGTCGGCGAGGTTGAGAAAATCCCCAAAGAATTCGGGTGGGGTTGGGTCGTCGTAAGGGTGGCGGATGTCGTAAACACCACGACCGCTGACGGCGTAGTAGGGTTCCTCGACCATTGATCGACACGTTCCGGCTGCTGAGGCGCATACAAGGTAATCGTTGGCAGATGTACGGTTGGTGGCTTTGCACGCTTTGATTTGATCGTGGCAGCCATCCGCGACTTCGTACGCGAATTTCATAGCAAAGTAAACGCTCTCGTTGATAGCTTTGATGCCGTAGGTGTTGTTGATGGCGAATTCAGGGTAGTAAGGCGCCTGAATCTCTTCGTCGACTATGCCGTTGATGATACCAAGCGTGTCCATTTGCAGCTCCACACCGGAGATGGATTTATTGCGGATGGCTTCGTTCTGCTGATAGAAGTAGTTGTAGAAGCTAGGTCCGTAGTGTCTAAGCATTGAACGTCAGTGAAACCCTATACGGATATACAAGCAAACATGTGTTCGGGTGAGCGCATACCCGCCATAGCTCTCTGTCCACAGATTGAAAGTGAAGTTCTGAATATCAGGATCCAGCTGTGGCGAAAGCTCTAAGAACGCCTGAAGAACGTTCCACGCTCCGACTGCTGCAAAGTCGGTTGTATTCGCCTTGTTCTGATCAACGAAGTGAAATCGTCCATCTTCTGTCGTTTTGGTCGTCTCGTAGCTGAATCCTACACCGACAGGCTGAGATAGGTACAGCATGTTGGACGCTTCATTCCACGAGTAAGGGTTGAGTTGAGTTTTCAATTCCTCGGTGACGTTGCAGGGCCCGTGTTCTATCATCGCCCATTGTTAGCTACCTCTGACAAAACACCCGAGACTGTGGCACTTTTGGCTTGATTACACCTACCTTGGAACAGTCCTATCAATGAATCTGATCCCGGACCTCCATTCAGCCATAAAGTCAACTGCACTACATCAGCACAGACCCAAACACCGTTACCTCCCGTTTCCCGCACTCACCGGCTTTTCACTGGGGTTCTCTCTTGCCTCAAAGAACCAGAAAAACATGTTTGTGTTGTTGTCCAAGCTGATGTACCCGGAATAATCATCAACACCTTCCGTTGTTTCGCAAATCCCCTCTTTTCCGGGCTGCTTGAAGCGGATGGTAGCGCCTTGCGGTGACGAGATGGTCCTGACGCCCGTCGCATCTTTTGGGATCCCTCTTTCTTCCAATGTTGGCTTGCGAGCCGCGACGCCAACCGTCGACGCCGCGCAGGCCAAGAGAGCAACAAGATGTGAGAAGCGCGGCATGGCGTCGATGGAAAGCTTAACCTCGGGTCAAGTAAAGAGAATACGCACTATGGGCGATGTGAATACCGCTGGAGCACCGGGGGAACCCTCGCCATATTTATATTTGCCTCAATTGATGGGCATGCCACCCGCTACAGCAGAGTTGGAGCTTACCCTGCGCCATCCATCTGCATGCCTTTTGTTCCGCTCGCACGATTCACAGTGCGCGATTCTCCCTTCCCCGCCCGCTGGGACGAGTAGATACAAGCTTTCGTCATCGTGATCATAAGCTACTGTGCCGTGTGAAGCTTGATGCCTGAATAGGCATGTGGAAAGTTGCATGTGTGCTCATCCTCGCACCACTGATACGAGGCTTCGATCGCTACCAGCGAATGCGCATCCATATTTCTTATCGGGGAGACCCCAAGCGAGCTTGGTTGCCATGCAAGACAAAGCTTAGCTAGCGAAATGGAGAGAATTGAATGCAGGATGCAGAACGAAGGCAATTGATGGTGGTGATGATGATGACGATGATGACATCGTTGGAGCTCGGTTAGATCATGGACAGGACCGGACCCCTCCGCCCCGGGTGAAGGCAACAACACACCAACACCTTCATCCCTCGGGTGCTCTTATCCTCCTCTCTGCACAATGACATTACATGTAGAAAGCAGCTTCTCAGAGTTCGCAAATTCCCTCTCTGACTTCGAATCCTCGTTGAATCTTGCAGTATCTATTCTTGTATGCATGGGGTCCATTCCTGATGCAAAAGCCGCAATCCTTCGACACAGCCCAAAGTTTCTACACATCCACCATGCATTGCCACGGCCAGTTTGACATCAGTTCATACTCGCTATCGCGAAACTTTCCTTTGCCGCATACCTGCTTTCACGCCCCCAAAGAGGAAGGTCGGTAGAGGCATCGCTAGCTGCCTAGCTTCCGACCGTTATGGAAATTTGCCTTGCGTTTGTATCATAGCTAAGTAGCTATACTTAGCACATATGGCCAAGATACCGTAGAGCTGCGTAAACAACAGGCACACTACAATCCTTGGTACATAACGACGACTTGTAGTGTTATTGTTGTTTTTCTGACGCACTGCATCCCTAGGGCGATTCTTAGTTTTAGGAATTGTCGGGTTTAAACTATATAGCGTTAGTAAGTAGGGTGCGATGTGCCTGTTATTTGCGCAACTCTACCGTCCTCAGCATGTGCTGTCACTGCTGTGCAAGCAAGAGTTGTTTCTTCCCTTGCTGCTGATTTTTGGGGTCCAAGATAGGGGGCACCACCGCAGCTCACGCCATACGTCATAGCAGTGCGTAACAAGCAATGAGAATCGACGCGGGAAGATTTTGATATGTTGTTTCATTTCTTCTATAGATATCATGAGATTGAACATTGGTATACAAGTCCATCCTTCATCCTAGAAGAATCTAGGGTTGTATGTACAGCACTTCTAATCCATGTACAAAACCCGAGAAACTGTGTTGTAGCCTGTCCATACGTCGTTGTGTTTACCCGAGCCTGTTCTACCCCTACACAATCATACTAAGAGCCATGTAACCCAATTCCCGGGTAGAATTTCTCTAAGACAGTAGGAGAGGCACCACAACATCATCAATATGACATCCAAAACTCCGTTTGGATATCAAAACCAGAAAAAAAAACCGCCAACCCTCGAATTCCAATCGTATCATATCCCAGAAAAGTACAGGTATAGAGCTGCCACTATAGACAGCAAGCGCTGTGAAAGTGTACAAAGCTAAAGAGAAAAAGAAGATAGGTCAAAAAACGGCAGAACACAGCTCCAAATGAGAGTGTTAGCGACATTTCAGGATTCTTCAGAGCCCCATACGAACTTGAAACGTTCGGCCTTGTTCGTAAACTTGGGTCGAATGAAAACGGGGATGTCTGAATCAGGCTTGGGCATTGCGTTCCACATGTCGGCGTTCTTAACGGTCGGCACAGTCCATGACTCCGAGGCTTCGACATCGAAGCCAAGCACCACGATGGCGACGAAAGTGAGGATGATGTTGGTGGAGAAATGACGTCCAGGACATGCGGTAGCGCCAGCACCAAACGGGCGGAATGCCGAGGTGTTGGACAGCTTCTTTTGGCCACATTCGGTCAGGAAACGTGTGTGGTCGAATCTGTCGGCATTTTCGCCCCATATAGTAGGGTCGTGGTGCACGAGCGGCCCTGGGATCATGATCAAGGCATCTTTCTTGAGTAGAAACGAGTCACTGATGGTGGTATTGTGCGCGACCTTCTTAACGCTCACGACGGAGCTGTGGTAGCGGAAGGTTTCATGGAACATGGCCATGATAGTTGGGCAATTCGTCTTGATCAAGCTCGTGTCGACGACTCGGATAGGCGCGGTGGAAGCCAGGGCCATAAGCTCCTCTCGACATGTGCGTAGGATGGTAGGTTTAGAGAGGATGTGCAGGAGCAGCCAGAATGCAGTGATAGACCCGCTGCTAAGCATGGCCAGCGAGGTGGCGATTTCCATCTTGGCTGCTTCATCAGGTCTTATGCCTAGCATTAAGCTCTTATTGTACATCTCGGGAATCATGGCGAATGCTTCCAGATAGCCACCCGTCTCGAAGTATCGCTGGAAACCACGAGTAAGACGATTGCGAGCAAAGATTGACATGGGTGCTGTGAGCCAAGGGAAGGGACTATTGACAAGATGCGAGATGCCCCTTTGGAAGACATTCCAGTCTGCCTCCATAGCCGGATCGTTGAAAGGATTATGTGGACCGTAAACGGCACCCGTCATGGCGAGAGTAAGCTGGTGCTGAGTGGTCTCCAGCAACCCAACTCGATCGGGTGAACTGAACCCAGAGTGCATGCTGCTGATGAGCCTGTCCATAGCTAGTCGGGTAGCAGACTGCAGCGTTGGTCCCCAAAGCAGGTAGCTATGTACACTAGCAGTGAATTGATTGCCATTTTTGTAGCCCGCTTGTAGACATTTTTTCGCGCTCTTGGCCATGCCGCTAAAGAGGATACCAAATTCGAGGAGTGTCGGAACAAATGCGGCAGCATGTGCCTTGGACTGAACGGCGTGGATAAATTGATTCGCACAGACCACATACACTCTCTGAAAGGGCATACGGAGAGTGAATATGGGCAAGGGAAACTTTTTCTTAGTTTCGACTAGGTACCCAGCTTTCCCTCGCAGAATTCCGATAGTAGCTTCCAAAAACGGTAGCTTGGTAGGGACCATATGTGGTTCAGCTTCATCCTGCGTGCTATAGAGGGTAGTGGTAATGCAGCCATATAGAAGGACGAGCACCAGGAAGACAACGGCGTCATATGTATAGAAACTCATAGTTGTAATATGAGAGCGATGACCGGCTTAATAAGTAGGGTTGAGGATCTGTTGGTGGGGAGTGAAATGGGGTAAGGTTGATGTGACGAGGGACCAATGATTAAACAGTTCAAATACTAAGGGCGGTGTGGAGCGAACGCAACACACGATGGTGGTTGGTGAGTGAATTGATGAACAACAAGTTTTGCGAACCCAGTAGGTACTTATGAATGGCGCGTTCGTTGCACCCAGTGAGTTATCTTTTGGGACCACTGACAAAAAGAATCCGCAGTTCGATACCCCAATTGGATCGCCATTTTCCAGAGCAAGTCATACGGCTTATATGCAGAACCATGATTCAGTATACGCCCAAATCTATCGATATGTCCGTTTTGGACAACTTTACTTGAAGCCACGATGCGATGGGCCCTGGTCGGCGATGCTCTACTTGAATGCTATGTTGATGAATATCAATAATTGCCGGATATGGATCTGGATAGTTCAATCGCATTGTTGAGTGGATGCTGTTTGATGCTCACGTGCATTGTGAACGAATATTGCCTTTCTACACTTTGCATACAGCAAATTGAGTCTTCACAATGTCAACGAGTTGACTGAAGAATTTGTTCAATAGCTGATTGGCAAGACGTTGTACGGAGAAAAAAAAAAGGGCGGAGTTTTTAGGGACTGTGGTGGCTTCATTCCTGCGCCCACCTGCCACTTGCCAGGGGTAGCCTCGTGTAGATCTCCCACGACGAGATTGATCTAGTCATGGGGTGCAGAGAGCGTCGCACACGACATTCAAAATGGGGAAATCGAATGGCCCAATAAAGAAAGGGCTGAGCAAGCGGCCGTAAAAAGGACAGGAACCCACGCCAAGCGCAAAGTAGGGCAGAAGCAGATTAGGACAATGGCAGACGCCGTGCAAATCGGCGAACGAGCGGGCGCATTGGTGGACTCGCTCACGAGCTCCCGTTCTCGAAATTTTCTCCAGCCATTCTATTGGCATACAATAGAATGAGGAAGGTTGGACATTGGAAGAGAATACCAGGATGATCGGATGGCTGTCGCGCCGGGACAGAAACGACGCGGACAAAAGAAACGTGCCGAACACAAACAATCAATGTCTTTGATGGTCCCAACTGACAGCTCGAGCGCCCGAGTCCCGAATGCGTGGATGGAAGCACACTACGGTCTTCGATGATTTCCAATCGGCTCCGCGTCCAGGGCGAGGGTACAAGCCTGGTTACGCAATTCCCCAGCTTGCCTGCCGTCCTCACCGTATACATGCGCGTATGTATGACCGGCCTGCCAAGCCATATACTCGGTACGGACACACCGACGTAGGAATAGTAACAAAGCAAGCCCTCGAGTCCCTGTCGTCAGATCTCGGGTGCATTAGCCGCGTGCTCGCCTTACCCTTCTCTAGGCATGCCATGGTGGTCGTCGAGTTTTGCTTCCTTCTGGAGACTTGACGTGATGAATAAAGAGATAAAAGGCGACGTCTTGCAAGCCCAGCTACGAATAGTTAGTGTGTGATACTTTTAGACGGCGCTAATTACATAATCTCCCTAGGGTGGCAACGTCCACTCAATCAAACTAGTGACCCCATTCAAGCCCTGGAGAATCCCTTTTTGATCGCACGCCTACACTTTCCTCTCCAGATGTCGTTATCGTGACCAAAACAATTATCGGATCGAAAGTTCGATGCTTAAAAAGCTCAGTTGTTATTCGGCACTGCCGCCTTTCGTGGACATCTACGAGAGAGCCGCAATGTACTTTGCTACTCTTGGCAGCACGGATAAATTCCCCCACGACAATGTACATAGTACATATTGGGCACGATACAGTCATTCATGCATCGTCTCATCTTGTCTGATGTCCGAGTAGTGTTTTGCTGCCAAGGTGGATTACCCGTGCTGCGCTTTTACATTTAGGCATCAGCTATTCCTACTGAACATATGTAGTCCGAATAGTCTGCCCCCGACACTTTGAATTCAATTCTCGCTTCAATCTGCTATCACATTACCCTTCCTTTGTCCGCTTGGTAGAGCAGATCAAAATGTCTTCTTACAGTCGATCAAAAGCTGATGCTGTCGCTCTGCAGTGGCTGAAGGAGTGTGAGAGTAAGCACATTGCTTGCAGAAAGCCCCGCTTCACTTCTCCACCAACGTTGCCTCGTCGGCTTTTATTCATTGGCGCGCTCAATTCAAAAGAACCGCGACTTATCGAGACATCCTCTCTGGGAGACCCGTACTGTCGATATGCTACCCTCAGCCATTGCTGGGGTATTGCTTCCCTTCCTTTACAAACGACCACTTCCAATTTAGCAAGTCGTAGTATCGCAATTTGTTGGGATGATCTGTCATCAACATATAAAGATGCTATTGTTGTTTCACAGAGAATGGGTGTGCAATATCTTTGGATTGACAGCCTGTGCATTATCCAGGACGACCAAAAAGACTTCGAAGAGGAGTGCTCACGCATGCATTTCATTTACTCCAATTGCTACTTCATGATTGCGGCGTCTGACACAAAGGATGGCTCCGAGGGGTTCCTACCACCACCAAACGCTGAAGATGAGTCAACTGCACTTTCAGAAACGTCCGCTTTCAATCCTTCATCATCTACTTTCCGCCGTAACGGGTCTCTCGATTGGATGAACTGGTCGGCGATGCTGGAAGGAACCCTCTATAAGCGTTGCTGGGCGTACCAAGAACGCCAGCTAGCTCCTCGCATTATTCACTACACACATCACGGTATTCTCTGGGAGTGTCGAATCGGAATTGGGGCTGGAGACATCAGCAAAATACAACTGAAACGCAGTACCCTTTTCCCTAATCACGAAAATTATATGCCAAAGGTTGGCATCTTCCGAATTTTGGATCTGGAAAGGACGCGCCTTGCACGAAAAGACATCATGACTTTTTGGCGATTCAGTGTTGAAGAATATTCAGAAAAAAGTCTCACCCACACCGTCGACAGACTGCCCTCGCTATCTGGTCTCGCAGTCGCTATTGCATCTCTTCTCAGCAACGAACCTCTCAACCCATCCGACCCTCTCTACCTAGCCGGTCTATGGCTCCCAGACCTCAATCGACAACTCTTCTGGACCCCTACCTTTCCCCATGATGCCACCCAAGAGCAAGCTCAAGTTACCTCCCTCCATCCATTTATCCCAACATGGTCGCCCCTGTCATACCCCAACCCCATCAGCTTCCATCAAGCATTGTGGAATCTCGAGACGCGGACCTCCACATTCTACGACATTCACAAAGAAAAGTTAGAAAACTCAATCACGCCAAATTCCTCGTTCGCCTTCCTCTCCACAGACATCAGGCCTACCAGTGCCAACGGATTTGGAAAGATCTCCGGCACCGCGCTCCGTATTCGAGGATGTTATATCGATCTTAAAGTGACCGACAATCTACAAACCATTACCCAAAAGATCGAAAACCAGGAATTACGTCCAGACACCAGAAAGTTGGTGACATTTCACGAGACGATGCATTATGTGAGGATCGGGGGCCACGCTGTGTGCATGTGGTTCGATTTCGCGGCTCCTGATCTTCCCAAAGATACGCCACTACGTTTTCTGATTCTATTCGAGAGCGAAGACTGGAATGTTGGGCTTATACTTCGTGCGAAATCCGGTGGTGGTGCAGGCCAAGTGACATACGAGAAGATCGGTCTCTTCGGCATTGACCCGGAGAAAGATCGGCCGATTCCAACGCCGCTCATACGGATCATACGAGGCTCGCGGCCGCAAGATATGCCAGAAGTTGAGGCAAGAGAGATCGAAGACAGGCCAAAAGGTCTGCCGCAGGTCATGGGGAAGATTTGTTTGGTTGGGGATGTGACGTTGGTCTAGTTGGGTGGGCTGGCTGCAAGTAATTTACCTTTATTGTCTCTGCGAGTGGTAAAGTGAGGGGAAACGTATGTTGAGTGATTGCGTGATGTCCACTTGGAAGGGCATGCCGGTATTTCACTGATCACGATGATGATGATGATGATGATGGGTGAAACTCTATATTGCTTTTCTGGTAATTGGGGGGAAATTGCGCTGCGCGTTTTCGGTTCAGAGCTAAAGAGTAACCACATAACGGCAAGCTTTAGTTACTGGGAAGAGTATTTCCCCGCGTTATCAGATTCATTACCCGTCATCGAAATGATGATAGTGGAAGGCCGGGTGGATTTCCGCTGTTCTCATACCTTGGTGGTCCATGTCCCCATTCCCCATCAAATTCGTGCCGATGCCATGTCGCTTTCGTATGAAGTATATTGGAAGGGTAGGTGAAAGAACGGAGAAGAAAAATGCAACTTAAAAGACAAACAGAGGGAGGAAGAGACGGAAAGAAAATTACAAGTATAAAGAAATACAAAGGTATTCTGTACGGGAAGATTGATGGCTAAGTTATCAAGGTCTAAGGGTGCGTCGAGAATAACCACACAATAAGAACAACTCTCACGGGCTATGGTACATAATCATTTTGTGAAACTCATCCTTTTTCTATGAATACTGCCTGATTCATACGAACCCGTCGTCATGATTTCATTATCTCAGTAGGTCTCCTCCTTTTCTTCCTCCGCGTGTATGGTGACGATTGGAGTGTTTTTTTGGGGAATGTTCTTTTGCTGGTAGGGAACAGAAGAAATCAAAAAAGGAGAGGGATCACCTGTGTAGTATAAGATCGAAACGCAAGTCGGGTATATGCATATTTAGGATGATGGGAGAAAGAATTGCTTCAGACGAGTAAAACTATACGATTATAATGCATGGTACGGACAGATGAGATCTTGTTTGGTCACTGCCATACCTTTTGCTTCTCGTTAATTTACCACAAGACTAACAGGAAAGGGCCTCCCCATCCACATATATATACAGGCGCTTGCTCACTCCTTGCTCTCCCTCTCCTCCACCCTCCCATCAACAAATCCACCAATCCCATCTCCACCCTTGCTCTTGAAATACTGCGTAAAATCATGTCTCACCGCCATAACGCTTCCCGCCACACTCTTGCCCCAAACCGGATCTGCGCTAGCACGCTCACACACTTTGAAGAATTCGTCGCGTTTCTTTTCGGCAGCGGGATCCCACAGACGGTGGAAGTTTTCGCGAGACATCGGATCAATCATATCCCGCCATAGAGCTTTGCGAACGTCGCTGTATTTGGAAAGGATATCGATGTCGAGCTCAGATTTGTGGATACCGAGGAAGCAGTCGTAGAGGGAACCGACGTCAGCGAAGCCACCTGTTAAGCCGAGGCCGCCACTGAGAACAGGATTAGTTGAGATTGAGGATACACCAGGCGTCAGGATTTGAGCAGGCGATAGTTTTGATGGATGGGCGAATAGAGTGAACGAATGAATGGGAAGAAAAACGTACAATGGATTACAAAGATGCGCGGCGTCAGCGACTAAGACGATGCGGCCTTCGCGGAAGCTACGCGCGCACCGCTGCTGCAACTTGTATGGGCTCATGCTCACAAGCTTGTAGTCGCCGGGTTTGGGGTTGCCTGGGAGGATCTCTTCGTATCGTTTTGGCTGGCGACGGACGAGCTCTTCACGGCTGAGATCGGCGTCGTCGCCGTACGTCACGCGCCACAGACCGTCGGGGGTGATGCGCGCAGCCATGTACCAGTCGGTAGGGTGGCAGATGAAATTAGAATCCCAGTAGTTGTGACGCTCGTCAAAGGGAAGGTAGACCTGCGTCGAAGAGTGTGATCAGCGGGTTGCGGAGTCTATCGGCAAAGGTGACTGTTTGAACACACATTTGTAGCGACAATTTGCTGTTTCAGCGTCTCGCCTGGGTACTCTTTGCCAAACAATGCCGTCCGCACCGCGCTGGAGGCTCCGTCGGCACCAACCAAGAAGTCTCCCGTAATTTCCTTATTCTCCCCCTCACTCGTCTCTACAAGCGCGGTAGCAGTGTTGCCATCCTGTTTGACGCCCGTGAGCTTGTGGCCCCAGAGAATCTCGGTATTTGGTAGGCTCTCAAAGTGCTCGACAAGCAGAGGCCCGAGGCGATCGAGTGGAAGCACAGCCATGGCATATTCGGATTCCTCGGGCTCACGGCCCATGCCGGCGAGGAAGGTGGTGTCTTTCAGGCGCCAGCAAACGCCCTTGGGCGTGAAGCCTTGTTTGCGCACATCGTCAATGATACCGGCCCGGTGGAAATCGTAAACGGCGGATGGGGCGTAGTGAGCTGCCCGTGGGTTGCTGTCGACTTGGGTGCTTGCATCGAGTATCGTGACTTTGATGCTGAGGTTGCGCGCGAGAAGGACACCCAGTAACAGGCCAGAGGGGCCTGCACCAACTATGACAACCTTTGCCGGGTAAGTTGACGAGTATACCAAATGTGGGGTTGATGAGGCGCATGGTGCACACGTACATGGTTGATCTCTGGCATTGTGAATCTGGTATCAGTTGCTCTGCATGTACCTGGGATACTGTGACCTCAATTGATCTTCTAGAGCTACATTTGCTCCCTTTTGAAGAGCAACAGGCACCGCCCCCACGATGGACTCCACGGGGTAGGCCATCAGGGCGGCCTGATGAGGTGGGGCATTTTTCTCCATGCACATGATGACCTGCCCACTTGTGCGGGGGAGAAGGGGAGAGGGGAGAGGAGCGGGCTAGATAGAATGTAGCCCCCCACATTGCACACGTGCCATTTGCCCCACGTGCCTGTCACGTGCTATATGACTAAGGCACCGTCCCAAGATAGCTTAGCGGAAGCGAAGTGGGATGAAGTGGGATGTGCATCATTGACTGTTTCTGGTGGTGCCAAGTATCCACAACTCCAGCAGGCTTGAATTGCGACAAGACTGGATGAAGCTGATGACGTCTACCTAACGTCGAACGTTATCCACATTCTTCATGCCAATGCGTCCATGTGTACGCCTTCAACACACGCAACACGTCACATGGAGTGCGTTCATGTGCGTGCAGGTGCAAATCACGTTGCCGGTCATCAACACATCTTCACGTCCCCACACACTGCCGGTTATGTCATTTTCCAGCAGAGGACCGGCCGATACCGTGAGTACCGTTGTATGGCGTGGCAACGGTATCATGCCGCAATTTCCTCCAAACCTCAATCTGTTGAGAAACGCATGGTACAGTGATGAGGGGGATCGATAGGGGGAATGGGGGAATTTCCGACTATCGCCAGTGGCACAGCTTCAATCAAAGTATATCGTTAGGAGCAGCACTACAATGCAGTGCACACTTACTTTCTCTCTGGTCTAGTGAGTCAGTCATACAGCCTAGTATCTGATCAAACACAGATAAGGTTGTGCACTCGAACACTGGCGTCAATGTCTACATACATCCGGTTTCCATTGTACGGACTACGCACAACATGTACACATACATGGAGCTTCCGAGTATGCTAATGGCATGCTAGTCAGTCATATCGGATATCCTAGCGCCGCGGTCGAAAGCGGCATCGATCGCTTGCTTGCTTGTTCATCAGGGTTTTCTTTCAGCCTCTTCTTAGCCAGATTTGCCACATCCAGCCAACGGAACGTGTGCCGAACTATGCCTGCCCTTCACATGCAGGTCAACACAATTCCTGTGACCCTGTCCGCTGCATCGCCATCCAACCGTCCCGCTCTACTCGAGCACCTTGCAGGGGATGGCCGCACACACGTACAGTACAATACGTGAGTACCTCTACAACTACACGTCGCCAAGAGTCGCGTAGCCGCGGCCAACGTCGACCAAGAAACCGAGATTTTAGGCGGCTGTCGCTCTTCTCCTTTCGGCATCCAAGGCTCCAAGCACACATGTCAACACCAGAATCTCGCAACCCCAATCCCACGATGCGCTGCATAATCGCGCTATTGGACGCGTCAGGGCTTGTGTGACCCATTTATGACCCACTGTTTTCTTATCTCGGATTACTCAATACAACATACTGTTGCCAGTCGCTCCTTGACGTTCCACTTTTCCCACGCATTGCCGTGTCAATCTTTTTCCAGCTCCAAAGCGCCCCGTTTTGTCTGAGGGCCAGAGCGAGTAGCTATCATAAGCGACGCACCGCGTCTGCGGCATATGACTCTTTTCGCCGTTGAAGGCGACATACTTGTCAAAGATTCCCATTGGTGAGCGTTTGATGAGCAATAGACATCACAGACTTTCGGCAAAAGATCTGCGCGGCGACGAGTGTTTGGTTCCAGATAAAAAGAAAACCTACACCAATGGACAGGCTCGTGGTTCCCAAGCAAAGCATGCATTATTTTGGCGCGTGTCGATAGCAACATCAGCCACTCCCGCTGCTATTTCAGGGATCGCCTTGGTTTTATTTCCCATTGTGCCGGGCGCTGGCGCTATTTGCCCGTTCTCCACTCCACCTGCGTCGCCGTATCCCTTTGTGTGCTTTGACGACCGAAACATGACATCGAAGCTTCTGGGCCGCCCTCTGTGATCTTCCCCCTTCCTGCGACAAGAATTAAGGTGGGTACCACGCCACTCAGTGGTAGCCGATTGATTCATTCCCACTATTTTCTGCTGCATGCGTTGACGTTTTGAGTTGGCGATTCACCCGTCGATTATATCGTAGTGACCGTCACCAGACCGCTCGTTCTCTGATTTCCTTCATTTATCCTCTCCGGCTACTTCACCATTTGACAGTTTGACTAATTGCCACGGCCTTCTATCCACTCGCCCTCCACGTTACTTTTCCATCCGAATATTAGTACCCAATTTGGATTTGCTACCGTCTTAAATCTTGTTTTATCTGCATCACTTGTCACACTGGTGATCGCACTCTCCTTCGCCGTCCGAGCACAGTATCTCCGCACCGCTGCGTCAGCTCCTACATCTCGATCAACACACAGATCTGTGTTGTTTCAGAGAGGAAGCATTCAACAATCAGTTCCCAGCTGCCTGGTCATTGAGTATCGCTCATTGCCCCTAGGTGGGTCGGAGGGGATCCGGGAGCCGTGGGTCCATACCATACGTTAGACCCATAAACCTGAGCCTCCTGAGTCAAGGGGAAGTTCTAGAATAGGAGAACTTCTTGTCGTACTCGTGACGATTGGGCTCCATTATTTGGAGTGGTCACTTCCATACTACAAGAGAGTTAAACGCCCAACACCAACATGAGCCCCTCTCAGCAGCAACACATCCCCGACGGGCTCACTTCTCATCTCCACAATCAGCCCGAGGGTTCAATGACTCCCGCCGGCCGGAAACGTGTTGGATTCAGACAAGATATTGCTCCTCCCACTCGCACACCAGAGGATATTTCGCCAACTAGAACGCCTCTTCGAAGAGCGGACGTGTCTCACGAAGAACTGGCACAGTCAGTCCACATGGCTTTGGCACCCCTGTATACTGGAGAAGTACCCCTCACCCAGGATGTGCAGAAGCCACGCCCCGCAATTCGGAAAACTCCTCGGACGCCGCCCCAGTTTTCCTTGGATCAAGAGTTGGAAGAATTTGACGAGGGCAAAAAGAGATCAGGTATCGCGGCTCAGAAGAGAGCTGTGCAATTGTCAAAGAAGGTTGGGACCTTTTCGACATCAGGGTCTCGGCGCAACTCTATAGATACATTGGTCTCGCCACATTCCTCTGAGGGGCTTCGAGCTGCTGCCCGCTCTCACCAGTCGGGATACGAATCCGCAACCACCAGCGAAGATGAAGATGGTGTTGAGCCCGAACACATGAAGCATGCGAAGCAGCTGGTTCGTCAGCACACTATCGGGCCTCGTGCAAACACTGTCCTTCGAGCCGAAGACTTATACCACCTTGAGCCCGTCGCATCTGGCCATGTAACACCAGAGAACGAAGTTGAGATTGAAGATGAACATGTACCTCGCCCTGCGAAATTCAGAACTGGCGTGCTGGGTACGCTCCTCAAAGCCAATGCTGCACGTGGTGCTGGTGCAGCTGCAGCTGCAGCTGCAGCTGCTCGAAACCCTAAAGCGACGGGTCATGGGAGGAATCCCAGCCAAGGCTCACTCAGTGCACCCTCGACTGCTGGGAACTCTCCTATAGAAACACCTTCCATGTCGGGGACATCCACACCAAGGAGGTCGTGGTATACCAAGCACAACAATCATTCTGTAACTTCGATATCCAAACTTATTGAGTCTTCTTCCATGCTTGCTACGCCCGGCCAAACCAGCATGTCTCAGGAAATGGAGGAGACGTACAAAAAAGTGCGTCCCAGCCTGGGTGGTCGTAAAACATCTGACAACTCCATTACTTCGGCATTGAAGACGACGCTGGGAGGCAAAGCTCGAAGGACAGACGAGTACAAGATCAAAATCCACTTGGCTGGCACTTTAGCGCGCCAGGATTATCTGCGGAAGCTTTGCAAGGCATTGATGATGTACGGCGCACCCACGCACCGTCTAGAGGAGTACATGAGCATGTCTGCCCGCGTCTTAGAAATCGAAGCACAGTTCTTGTACATGCCAGGATGTATGATAATCGCCTTCGACGACTCGTCAGTTCATACGAGCGAGGTCAAACTCGTCCGTACCACCCAAGGCGTGGACCTAGGGAAATTGAGAGATGTCCACGAAATCTACAAAGATGTGGTACATGACCGCATTGGCGTTGAGGAAGCTACCCCCCTACTCGAAGCCATCATCGCTCGTAAGGCCAAGTTCAGTGCCTGGCTTCGTGTCCCCGTCTACGGCTTAGCCTCCGCGTCGGTCGGTCCGTTCGCTTTCCAAGCCCGCCCCATTGATTTGCCTTTCTGCTTCGTACTCGGCTGTCTGCTTGGATGGCTTCAACTCATTGTCGCTCCCGGCAATGAGCTCATCACTAACGTCTTCGAGATTGGCGCAGCTGTAATCACATCCTTCCTTGCACGAGGGCTGGGCTCGATCCCAGATAAAAACGGCGATCCTCTCTTCTGTTTCAGCGCCATGGCACAATCCTCTATCGCCCTCATCCTCCCAGGCTTCACTGTTCTTTCTGCTTCGCTCGAGCTGCAGAGCAGACATCTGGTCGCTGGTAGTGTGCGAATGGTCTACGCTATCATCTATTCACTCTTCCTCGGTTTTGGCATCACCATTGGAACGGTTCTCTTCGGCATGATGTACAAGGATGCAACCTCACAAACAACTTGCAAAGATCCTATGCCCTCGAACTGGTACTACCTCTTTGTGCTCGCCTTCGCTCTGTGCCTCATGGTCATCAACCAAGCCAAAGTCAAGCAAATGCCAGCAATGGCACTCATCGCCGTCATCGGATACGTCGTCAACTCCAACTCGGCGCAATTTTTCAAGAATAACGCACAAGTTAGTAACACACTCGGCGCGCTCGCCATAGGCATCGCTGCCAACATCCACGCGCGCTTTGGCCGCCACGTCGAGAACTGGAGTTTAGATTTCTGGGAGCAGACCTGCCGCCCACGATGGATCAAACTACGAAAAGCCTTTGTGCGACGCTTCCGCTCTCTCCGCTCCCGCTTATCAACTTCGAATCGCCACCAACACCAATTCTCCTCCCCTTTTTCCGAACATAAAGGAACATACACTGATCACCACCACTTTTCGGACTCATCTTCCTCCTCTCACACTCACTCTCGAGCCTCTTCCATGTCCACAGCCTGCTCGGAGCCTTACCTCCCGCATCATCGCAAGATTGGCTACGGCCTCGCCGCCGCCGCTATGCTTCCTGCCATTTTCGTGCAAGTGCCTTCTGGTCTCTCCGTTCAGGGTTCGCTCATCTCTGGCATCACTTCTGCGGACCAAATCATACGTAATGCTACCGGCAACGGAACCGCAACTGTGCCAATGCCTGCAGAGCCCGGCAGCAATATCAACAGTGTTGCATTAAATGTCGGATTCTCGGTTATTCAAATTGCGATTGGCATTACGGTCGGCTTGTTTCTGGCTGCGCTGCTGGTCTATCCGTTGGGGAAGAGGAGGAGTGGATTGTTCAGCTTCTAGTAAGTGAACGGAAAGGAAGGCTGGTCCTCCGCCGTTTCCTTCTCCATTCTTGCTTATTATCATCTTTTGTTAAGTATATTCTTTGTAATTTTCGTTGATCAATCTTTTTCGCGGGAGGGATCTTGGAAAGTTACCGCATGTGGAACGAAGAGGAGCATACCAGAGGCGTTTCATCTCTTTTCTCTTCCCTTCCAATGGTTGTGCGACGTGTTTGGTGTTGAAACGGGTGGGGATTTGGTTATGAGCGTCTGCATTTACATTTTCTCGTTAGCGTCATTAGCATATAGCATTAGCGTTTTATTATCATAAAAATCTCCCTCTTGTTGTTTCCAAATCTCGCCTGCAAATAATTTTTCTTTTGAAGGAACACGACGCTGTGATCAAGTTCTCTGATATCAAAGAGGTAACCGGTAGTACCAATTTTAACTTCACGATTAGATCGTCCAACAACACTGAATTCGGCTTGACCTTGACATTATCACTACACACTTTGCGATAAAACTGTTGAATGCAAAGATTTTGAAATTAGAACAGTCCCCGGACATAACCCCTCGCTAAGCCATCTTGTCACATACCTGCGAGAAAGACGAAGTTCCCCGCGAATGTCCAGGACGTGGCTTACGCGAGGAAGAACGAGTTCGAAAAAAAAATTAAAGAAAAGAAAAACGTGCGAAAAGACGATTTTCAGTGTCCTCAAATGGTGATAAATAGACATTTGTTGAACTAACAAGGCTAGCATGCGTTATGATAAAGGGTATTCGGAGTGTTGATGGATGAGAAGCGCGCTGACCTATCCACCCCGCACTGAAGGCAGCGCCGAGCTGAGAGACTATAAACTCCATGTTTGTGTGTGTACAAGCAATCTGTTATATGATACGTATGTCTTGCCAACGTATATTCGGGTGAAGGTGAGCGAGCAGCAAATACTAGGCGGTCTCCATCAGAGCGGGCTGGAAATGAGAAGATATTTACTGGTGTGGGACTGAGTAGTAGCTACAAGATGAAGTAACACAACATATCAAGTGGTTCACCAGAGCATCTAGGAAGACTAGGGATCGGGCCAAGTTTTCGTGGCCATGGAGTTCTTCTCACTAAGTGGAGGAGCCTAGGAAGCAGAACGAATCTCAAAGATACAATACTTCCTTTCACGGGCATCACGGAGAGATCTCTCAGAGAAGCCAGCATTCTCTTTTCAGCTGGCGAGAGTACACGCATACCGAGGGCTGCCGAGCGACGGGCAAACCGGACTGAGGAAATTGCCTGGAGCATGCTTAGTATTTTCGATGACAACTCGCCTCTTCTATTTGGCGAAGGCAAAGTGGAAGTGTTCAAACGACTTCAGGAATAGATCATGAAAATATCCGCAGATGAAACGCTATATGCATGGGAGAGTAGTCAGTTTACAGCTAACCCGTTCTCTGGCGATGCGATGGCCAGCGACGAGGGGACTTTAGCGGAGCAAGAGTTCTACCATCTGCATCCGACGTCCCTGTTGAAGACTTAGAAGGTGATTGCAGCTTCACCTCTACTCCGACGATATACGCCCAATTCGCTCTCCCTCTATGCTCCGTCATCCATACTAACTACACACAGCTGTATTCCGTTGTTATATTTCCCATATTTTCAGCAATTTATTTGTTGTTCCATTGAGTCATTTGACACCTCCTTACCCAAAGTTGCCCTTGGACGCCTTGGCTTTCTTGCCAGAGCTCTTCCTCCCTTTGGGTAGTAGATGTTCATTTTGATATGCACTTCATCCCGTAAGATAATGGGCCGTTCAGCTGTTGCGTGGACGGAATTAATATTACCTAATTGGAAATTATTCGAATTCTGCATTCAATTTATCATGGTCGCTCATTTCAAGCAACTCACATTTATATCCCAGTTTCTTATACTCTCCGCACCAATGTACAACCCCGAATCTCAAATTACTCCCGGCTATAGAATGTTGATTTGCAGTCTATTTAAATACTCGAATCTACACAGGCATGTGATATGTCGATATCTTCGAATAGAGGCCATTAGATGTCTCAGTGTATGTAAACTTCAGAATAAAGAACAGTCACAACTTGACTAGAGCAATGAAGGAGTAGTAAGCTGAGCTAGATAGAGGAATCTTCAGACGGTTATAGGGCGCAATAACCGTATTAGCATTATTCAATAAGACATGAAATGAGGTGTGATGATTTGTTCAATGCCTGAACCATGAGTACTTTACACGGGAGTATTTCTCTAAAAAAGGCTAAACCATACATCAAATCAGAACAATACAAAACAGGACGATTCCCTCAGTTGTCCTCATCCTCGCCAAAGTCGAGGACGCCAGCACTCTCGTCATAAGTGGCAAAGCGGCCACGACCTTTCCCCCCCTCCTCAGACTCAACCCCGCTCTCCCTTATCCTGCTCTCCTCCTCCTCTTCCTCATCTTCCACTATTGCTCCTCGCCTCAAGTCGGGTTGGTAGTCAGAATTTACAAAAGTGACCTTGTCACTGGGGTCCAAGGTCGGAGATGTGGAGGGAGAGGAGAGATGAGCAGAAGCCGCCGCCGCCTCCCGCTTGGCTGCAGCCTCCGCCTCTTCTCTGATCATTTCTTCCATACTCAGTACCCATTCCGGGGTTGAGTTCAGATCAGTGGAGTTGGACAAGTTATTCGCAATGAAGTCCAGGTCCATGTCTTGCTTTGTCTTCTTGGTGCCAGTATAGTTCTCGGCTTCATGCCGCACTGCGGCGAGCTCCTTGGCCTGAAAGGCAACTCCCTCGTTATGCCTTGCAATACGCTCGGCAGCTCTTGCAGAGGCGGTGACAGCCCGGTTCATCTGTGTGGCGAAATGTAGAGACAACTTCGAGAGCAAACCGCAGATCATGGTGACCTTGGCGAATAGGTCGGGAGAGTGCTCCAAAGGGATCTGGCACAGCGCATTGCACAACTTCTTCACGGAGCGGAGTTCCCACCCTGTATTGCCCAAGAGCTGTTGGTGCTGTAGAGAGTGGCGTTTTGTGCTCCATGCTAGGAGGCGAGCGAGGGCTGGCGAGACGAATTCGGTTTCGAACTGGAGGAACTCGATGGGAGACAAGGTCCGCAGAGATTGGACTGTCACCCCTTCACAGAACCCGGAGATCTCACTCCAGATGGCCGTGAGGACCGGAATGGTCTCCCGCTCCCAGGCCTCAGGGATCTCAGGAGCGAAGCCATTTCCAAGCAGCGGGCCGACCAAAGCGTTGATGATATTATCGTATTTTTGACGACATCCCTTCAACTCCATGATCTTTTGAGCGTTGAGAGCCGCTTTCAGCTCGCGCTGTCGCTGATTTTGAAGGGCGAGCTGCTGCTGGTGCTCGTACGCCATGGCAGCAAGGTGAGCTTGGCGAGCTTGCTCTCTATCCATGATCTCTTGCATCATTCGGTGCTCAGAAAGGCGAGCGGATCTGATGGCCGTAGCCTCTTGAGCATGCTTTCGCTCATCTCGGGCCTGGGTCTTCTGAATGGAAGCCTCGGTGGCGAGGGCGCGCTGTTGCTCGATGGTGGTTCTTTCTGCATCTTTGGCGGGAACTGCTCTGCCGGAGGACGGGGCAGGTGAGGAGGATGGAGAGCCAAACGAAGATGGAGGAGTTGATATGTTCAGGGAGTCAGTGGAGTTAGGGTGGTTGTCTGGATCAGCAGCGAAGATGGGGGAAGAGATGGTGCTTTTAGAGGAAGGAGTTGGAAGAGTGAATGGAGCGGAGTAAGAATTTGGAGTGTCATTCTTGGTAGTGACGACACTTGTTGATATCAAGATCCGCCCAGTCCAGAATTTATTCTTCGTCTGTTGTTCGTGATACCTGGTGAAGACGTTTTTGCTCAAGCGTGTTGATGTCTGAAACTTGCACGATCCGGACTTTGTGATGGAGGCATTTTGCACATTGTGTAGCCTTGAGCTATCCTTATTGAAAGCTCGAGAGGTATTAGAATCACGAGTGCTGTAGGTATATTGCTTGTACACCGGAGATTTACTGGACTTTCGGGGGCTACCCATATCTTTCTCGGATACAGTGGCGTTGGGCTTTTTAGCTACCGTAGGAGGTCGAGTTGCTTCGATGATAGTCACTGTCTCCGCGAATCTAACGGCTTTGGAATTGTCGCCAGTGGAGGGTACTTCGATAATGGTAACGTCGTGGCTGTCGGCAGCTTCAAGCTCTTCGGAGGCCGGGACTGCAGGGTTGAGAAATTGGCCACACCAGAACCAAGCTTGTATCCGCTCCCAATAGCTGGAAATCTTATTTCCGCGTCCCTTCAAAACAGACGGCATGATGGGCGGTGTTGAGAATGGAAGCAGTGGAGAAAACGTCGTACAGACGAAATGGATGCGTACACACAGAGATATGTCGTGGTCGGCTCCGCAAGGGGAAATTAATGAAAGAAGAAGAGATGTCTGCAGAAGAGGTGGTTGACGTTAGGCAGCGGAGGAAGTTGGAATACTCAATGGTAGTAGAGTTGAGAGTACGACGGCAGTTGGAGAGTCGATGGAGGGGTAGAGGGTGTGGGTGGGGTGGTGGTATATTGAGCGTTTGAGCAAACTTATGGCCCAAGCTTAGGGCTTTGGTTGCATTGGCCAGCGTATGACTTGGCAGAGTCGAGGTGAAGAGTAACTCGAAGATGGAGAGGAAAGTGAGGACACGGACCAAGACCCAGTGCGGAGGGAATGCATCTGCACAGGCGATATTGTACTGCGCGGGGCGAGGCCAGTGAAAGCCGACCAGAGCAAACTCTCTACATATAGGCAGAAAATTGTGTGGTTTAGAGTCACATGTGAATCTAATTTGTAGCAAAGTGTCATGTAGGACATCTGTGAAAGTTTCTGACACCAAGTATCGGATCGTTTCATTTGCAAGTCTCGTTTCCTGTCGAACTTGTATGAAAGCATTTTCAGACAGATAGGCCAAAGTTGATGTGAGCAGCTTCCCACGAATTCATTATACATATATTCCATGATCAACAGCGATTGGTATATCAAGCAATTAGTCAGATTCGTGGCGTAGTGGGCGGATTCTAGCGGTCCTTCGTAGCCTTATTCAGCACCCAGGACACAGCTCCGACGGCTCTCTATTCTATATTGATTCATGGCGAAAAAATTCGTTTTCCCTATGTATATCTTAGTTTCAATCGAATCTTGATTACTTGACCTAGGTTTCGCGAATGATAATGGAGGGAGTATCCCATCTTTAAACAGCGTTAGGCCTGGGTACAATGCATTAAGTGCATAGATTCAAGGACCGCTACCAACTTTCGACATTGACTACGCGCAATGTAGATATCATTTTACGAGACGGACGTTATGGTTTGACCCTCGAAGATGAGTTATATAGGCATTTTATCGTTTTTGCTGAACTCGGAGACATCAACCTCATGCATATTGCTCAATGCCAGTTTAATGAAGCGTTTTTCCTCTGCACAATGACTACTCACTCAACCAGGAAGGTAGGCACAGTAGAGAGGTTCTCAAAAGAAAGTCCCGATATCGTGTAAGTCAAAGTGTGTCTCGTGTACGTTGCCATAAAGAGACAAATAGAGTGAAAAACAGAAATTAAATGGCGGGTTTGATATCTGTTATTCCCCCCGTTAAAAAAAGAACATTTGAAGAAACGAAAAGAGCACAACGGGGCTGTGCGCTGGCCTCCATGAGTCGGAACCATCATCCAAAGAACAATAACAAACAGAGAATATACTAGGTACATGAAGCTTATATCTCAATTCACTCAGAGTTGCTGACGAGGAAGGAGCTTTGATGCATTCTGGCGGGAGATCATGGCGGTTCATGCTACACCAAGATGAGGTTGTTACTCGTCACCAGAAATGGAAAACCTCATATTGCACAGATACCAGCTACATCATAGGCCGCGCCTAACGATTTCACTTGTTGAACGTTGATATATCAGACTTATTAATATTCGAAGGCTGAAGATTCTGAATGCTCATGCAAGCATTCAATTCATTGTTGAAATTACACGTGATGTCGATGAGTGATCCACCGATAGTTTGACAAACAATATGAATTGATCATTGGGATCTTGAAGCATTCCTCAAGATAGAGGTGTGCTTATGATGCATAAATAAAAGAGAGAACGAGAGTATCAATCTCGCCAGCAGCAATCGGCTGATTGCTTGATGCTGGCACGATCAAGGTCATGTGATGAGATCTCCAAGGTTGATGCTAGATGCTGATTGGTGGGCCGTCAAGTGCATCACGAAACTCAAATCTGGCTGCGGCTGATGTGGAATCGGCCATCAGGACTCCCTTTGGATGGCATCCCGTTGCCTCAATACATTTGTTACGGCAATTTAACAATGCGAAATCCTGTGGCCTGTACCTCCTGTAGAAGCGCAAAGCAGAAATGCATCCATTCAGGTATGTACACAGAGTGGGCAACATGAATCCCCAATGTTGTGCGACGCGACGACGACGACGACGACTGATGAGCGATCCCCAACATCAAAAGATGCTCCACCTTGTGACCGGTGCAGGCAAACGGGCCGCGCCGAAGCATGCGAATTCCCTGCGCCAGGCACATCCGCTATTCATCGCCGTCCCAAGAGGCCTCGACACGACTCTGACTCTGCCGCAAACCCCTCGTCGGCCGCGCTGAGTCCCCTGAACGGCGCCTGTGGTGTGCCGACCGGCGGGCCGATCTCCACCAATGCCGCCCCCAGGCTTTCACATCCTTCGCCCGCCTCTGCGTCATCTCTCCTGGAAGGTCTGGATCCCTTTGATCTGCTTACCGATGAGGTCAAGAATAGCTACCTGCGATGCTCCTACAAGTGGAGCTTCCATCACACCCCAACATTGCTCCTGCGCATCCGGGACAGGACCTTGGAGATATGGATGGCATGGGCGATCCTGGCATTGGCCATACGGTAAGGGCTTGGTGCATCTCACTCGTATATTATTCATCTTGTTGAGTGGTTGAACAGCTTTGTCAAGGAACCTCCGCCACCCTTCAGATCGCAGATTGAGGCCAGCAATGCATTTGCCGCCCACGCTCGACAGATCTTACAGTCTGACCTCGAAACTCCCAGTATTAGCCGCGTCCAAGCATTACTGATGTTGACTGGTCACGACTGGGGTGCTGGCAATGGGAGGCGGGCATGGATTTATCTGGGCATGGCCATACGCTTGGTCGAAGTCATGGATCTGACTCAAGAGCTCAAAGCGCCCAAAGACCGGAAACCTACACGCGAGGAGTTCATCGAAGCTGAAGTACGTCGGCGAACGGCTTGGACATGCTTCTTGATGGATTCGCTCTTGTCGGGTGGAAAGGGGCGAAGAAGATCCCTAGCGGCGGACGATATGGACATTCAACTACCATGTGAGCGCGAGAGTTTTGTCTTCGGCGAACCGGTATGCACTGAGAGCCTCAACGGCCGATTGCTCATGCCCCCTCTTTCGTTGGCAGTAGGAGAATTGGGCATCATTGGCTATAGTCTGCGAGCGGCGAACATCTGGGGAAAGGTGGCCAAATGGGCGTGCTCACAGGAACTCAAATCACAGCTTCCCTGGGAATCCACGTCGCAGTTCCGACAGCTGATACAGGAGCTTGAGGACTGGAAGAACACCCTTCCTGTACGCTTGCAGTACGACCTTTTCTCACTTCACAGCCACAATGCCGTCGATCAAGGCCAGGCATACTGCTACATGCACAGCATACACTTTATGAGCAACATGTTTCTTCAACGAGCTTATTTGCCCGTCCTTGGACCTCAGGTCCACTCCGAAGAGGCGCCCGAGTCGTACAGCGAATTCAGTGACCAGTGGAAAGCGTGGCAGAAAACGTCACGAAGGGAGCTGTTCAAAGAGGCAAACCAGGTACTGGAAATGCTGGAAGAGATGCGCACATTTGGCGTCTTCTTTCTACGAGGTCTGGTGCCCTGGATTGGATTCACCATATACACGGCTGTGGGGGTGATGCTGTACAGCTTTCATTTTCCTAGCCCCGAAGATGACCCAAGACTCGCGCAACAGTCACGGGAACGCGTCGTGAATGGATGTGTATTCTTGAAAGAGATGAACAATCAATGGCCTATGTCGGAAACTTGGGTAATAACAAGCATGCGAACCTGGTACTTGCTCTAAGCTGACGGATTTAGTTCGAGACAATCAAACGTATGCAGAAATATTATCGCTCTGTGCTTGGGCAAGGCGACTCAGTGTCTCCTGATGAACGGCAAGTACTGCGGCGAGCCATGGTCGACTATGGCGCCTTGCAACCATCGCCAGTGCAGAAGCCCACGGAGATGAAATCGGATATTCCAGAGGCACACATTCTTCGCCCACCAGTCTCCAACGAGGTAAGATATACTCTGCAAGCTTTAGCAACGCCAGCTTACAATGATCGAAAGGTAGCAGCAATTGCAAGAGGAGCCACCCTCGCTTCTCCGCCCGTGTCCGCACCCACACCCAACGATTATAACACACCAATCAATTGGAACTTCATACAAAACATCCCCCCTCTCGAAGAAGACACGTCCAACATGACTTTTAACTTCTCGAACGCAGATATGGAAGAACTCATGATAAGCGCCACACAGGATTTCTGGGCCTCGTTCCCAGGCGAAGTAGGGGTTGGCTTTCAATAGATGATGTAAGTGATGCTGCCTTGTACGTATATTAAGAGCAAACATTGGGGGACAGTCTGGGTCAGGAAATCTGAGGCGTTGGGCGAAAGCTGCTTGTACGTTAGTCTGGTGTTGTTTTGCACTTTAACATCCATTCGGGCCTCTACTATAATATCTCATTGGCGTCTAGCCTTCCGTTCTTCGAACCGGGCTAGTGAAAATCGCGTTAGTGCAGTGTAGGCCCCGCAGCTCCCTATCTTCTCACCAACCCATCGATATCCCTCGTTAATCATCCATCTCACTCCTCGATATATGCCCGGAAACCCTTCGGCTTTTATCATCGGCGACGCCTTCTTCGGTGCTTAGTTTCGCACTAATCTGAGTCACACTTCCTGCATATATACTCGCTTCCCATTCCTGACATTGTAATCAACTCTCGCTCACTCTTCACACCGGAAAGCAAGTAGCGAAGGAAAGAAAGCCCCTAAAGAATTAAATCCAAAGACAACGTAAACCACCATGGGGGTTTTCTACGAAACTATTCCAGACAACTTGAAGACATGGATCCTTGACCAGAAAATGCTCTGGGTCGGCACCGCACCTCTCGCATCCGACGGGCACATCAACATCTCTCCCAAAGGTGGTAAAGCCTTTGGTATTCCCTCCCCTACCTCCTTCTGGTACCTCGATCTTACAGGATCTGGCGTCGAAACCCTCGCGCACTTGCACGAACCGGGAAACGCACGCATTTGTATCATGTTCCTGGCCTTCGAAGGCGCGCCCAAGATCATCCGGCTCTGGGGACACGGGCGCGCTGTCGAGAATGGAACCCCCGAATTTGATGCGCTTGTGGAAGATTACAAGATCCAACTAATTCCTGGCGCGAGGAGCGTGGTGGTCGTGGATGTGCATCAGGTGGCGAGCAGCTGTGGATTTTCGGTGCCATACTACGAGTGGAAGGGGTGGAGGAGTACGTTGGATGAACATTTTGCGAAGAAGGATCGGAAATTTCGGGACGGAGATGAGAAGGAGAGTATGGACAGGTATTGCGCCTCTTTTCCCATCGTCTCTAATCCATTCCACGGCACCGCACGTTCATCATGTGTGAACAAAGCCTTAGCTAACTTTTAGAATGCAGATACTGGGCCTGGAAATCCCAACTCAGTATCGACGGTCTGCCTGGGATGAAGCGTGGCTACCAGTATGCGCAACATAACGATATAGCGCCGCTCAAGAAGATGATAGGGAAGTACGCTCCTGACCCTAAAAATCCGCGCACCGTAACCGAGAATGCGTCGCCGATTCACGTATTGATGGTCGGGCTGCTATGTTTTGTGATTGGCGTAGTGCTTACGCTTACGATGGTTGATCCGGAAATCATAAGGAAAGTGCAGAAGAAGGAGTTATTTATTTAAAAAGAATTGGTGCTGGAGGTTAGAAGCGTGGAACGTACTGATGTATTGAACACCCCGCTCCTCCACGATAGAGTGAAATCGGGACGTGTAGCGGGGCAAACAGTCTGATTTTTAGATTATCAACGAGGTATGAGTACTTGAGTGGAGCTGAGGTCTAACTATAGCGTTGGGTTGACTGAGTATATTTCATGCTTGCTCTATTTTGCTTCGATTGTAGCCGCCTTGTTACTCGGCACTTAACTGGATCACCAGACCTTAGTATAGAAGTATTACTTCGCTTCCGTGCGCCATGCCAACTGGGAGGTCCAAGAGCAGGATCTACAGAGAGGTTTGCGGGGCTGATAACATTCTACATAGATCAATACATCGTAATTGTCCCTTCCGAAACCTGACTTCCTCTCGTTCGAGCGAGACGAATGACGTAGCAGTCTGAGGGTTAGGTGTGGCGGTGAAAAATACGCTGGGGGGTGCCAGAATTGTTAACCGGAAACAATCCTTGATGTTTGATAACTGTACGATTTGATTTATTGAGTGGGAAGGCTCATGAGCCCTGCATGCTTTCTGGCGTGATTAGACAAGAATTCGCTTGCCGATATGCTTACCCCTCCCGAATTCATTCTTATGCTGACCGGTTCCGGAGACGTAACATACAAGTAGACCAATAACACCACGGGAATACTTTATCAGCGTAAAGCAAAGCTGAAAAAGAGACTGTCCATGATATGGGGCTGAGAGGGGATGCTCGTATTTCGAGGCAGGCGATATAAAGACAGCGTTAGAGCTATCTCCGCAACATAGATGTTTGTTCATTTTGTGACAACAGGCCATGGCAGAGGCACTTGCTGTAGTTGGGGGGCTTGCCGCCCTTTTACAGATCGCAGGGTCATCGAGAAAACTCTCGCGTGAGTTTCTCAACTTTATTCGAACTGTACGAAATACGCCTCGAGAGATTGAGATCTTACAGCAGCAGCTATCGAATTTCTCTGAAAGTCTGACTATGTTTCATCATAACTCCAATGAGTGGTTGGACAGCATGCTGGAGTCCCCGCAGAAGAATAGGCGGAAAAAACACCTTGCAGGCCTGATCAAAGAGTGTAAAGCTGTCAAAGATGGTGCAAAAGAACTGAGAGAACGACTTTTCCCCCCAAAACCATCGAAATCTCGGAACGAGCTTGGTATACTGTACCGTATCCGGTGGTACTTCCAGAAGGCTTCCGTTGCAGGCCTAAACCTGATGCTCGAAAGCGCAAAAACTTCAATCATGCTGTTCATAACCCTTCAAATGTGTGAAGGGCTCCGAAAACGCATTGATGAGTTGGAACAGGAGTTGAATAAACCACCTGGAGAGATCAAAACGCTCAAACATCAATTGTACTCCGCCTCAGCGCACAGCAAAATCTACTCCCGCTAACAATTAGTAGGCGCCACACCAGACGACAACTAAGAGATCAGATTGAATACGTACAGCGAATCCATGAACGACTTGAGCAGCATACCATGAATTCATTGGTGTCGGGTTCCGTGATCGGTACAAGCGCGCAAACAGTTGTCTCCGAGATGCACGCTATGGAGCAGTACTTCGTAAATACTCTCCAAGCAGAGACGATGAACTCAGAACTCGAAGCTTTGCAAGAAGAGATGGTAGAGCAAGAAGCCACGTATTATACCACAAGCACTGGTGGTTTTTAGCGTATTACTACAGTAGTCAAGTGTAATGAATATGGATTGTATGCCTCTGACTCAATTATAGCAAGCTCCGATACCATACTGTGGCTGGTACATGGTTAAGTAAGAAAATTTCTTCGCTGAAGAGTGGCTCAACGTGATGAGATCCATCTCACGACTGTAGTGCAGCAACCCTGATGCAGTGAGACTAGCAAGTCTAATCGTTGAAGTCTCATGTCCACCAAGAATCGACTATCTGCATATTTTCGTCCGTAGCCAACCTTCAGGGGTGTGGTACAGTTACTTCAATTCAAGATTGGAAACACGGAATTCATCTTGAAAAATGTGCTTATCACTTGGAACTGGTTCGCGCGTAGGGTCGACAGAATTTCGGTGATGTCCATATTGGGGTGAAGAGCCAATGAGCCTGGAACGATGGGGTATCGGCGGTGGCTTGTGACGCAGCCCTCGTCTCAAAGGACTTATCACATGTAGTATCAATGTGTAGAATACATACTTCAGTACTTGAGTATTTTGGTTGTGCTTACTGTGCAATGATGAGTTTGGACCTGAAAGTGACGATAAAGTGCGATATGGTGATGATGACGCTTGTACGCTAATCCATATTTGTCGTACCGTGATGACGACAGACCTCGGCCGAATCGGTGGCTTTCCACTTCAACACTGAATAAAGGCCAAAGGTTTAGGAAAATCGGACACGACACAATCTCTACAGCACTCGCGATCAGCAAGCACTATGGCCACCGCAGCAATGGCGGGGAGCACCGGCTTTGTCGTACGTACCTGTCCACCATGCATGCGTTGGATGCCGCCCATCACCCCAATCTAATCTTCCACCCCAGGGCTCCCATATTCTGTCCCAGCTCATCACCCACCCAGCTTTCACATCTGTTTACGCCTTTGCGCGACGCAACCCCCCAAACCCCAGCGAATCGTCAAAACTCCACCCAATCACTTCCACCGACAATACCACTTGGCCAGCGTCCTACCCGCGCTCCACCGCGCCCAAAATCTTCTTCTCTGCACTGGGAACCACGCGCGCCAACGCCGGCGGCCTCGAAGAGCAGCGCAAACTCGACGTTGACCTCAATCTAGCCCTTGCCCAAGCCGCCAATGACGCTGGCGCAGACACATACGTGCTCATCTCGAGCGCCGGCGCGAGCTCGTCCTCGCGATTCCCCTACAATGCGATGAAGGGCGAGCTCGAGGACAAGGTGCAGGCGCTGGGGTTCAAGCATACCGTCATCTTACGGCCCGGATTGATAATGGGAAACCGCAAGGAGAGTCGACCGGCGGAGGGGGTTATTAGGGGGATTGCGGGCGCGTTGAAGATGGTGTCGCCAGTGCTGACGAATTTTTGGGGGCAGGACGCGACGACCATTGCGAGGAGTGCCATCGTGGCTGGGGTCATGTGTTTGGAAGGGAAGAGGGAAGATGGGGTCTGGATACTGGCGCAGTCGGATATTGTGAAGATGGGAGCGGAGGAACTGAAGTAATGGGCGATGTCATGTGCCCGGAGGCGTCGTGAGGATGCACGAATCGATGTTCCTTGCTGGATCGTGATATGCTTGGAGTTGCGATGGACGCGGAAGAATCGCAGCATTCATATACCCCTTACATCTATTTCATTCTACATGGTAATCACGTTTGTCAAATCTTCCATGTTCAAACGTCACATGCAATGTTGGTAAATCACCCTTCCATTTAGAAATGTTTTGTCTGACAATAGATGGCCAACTTCGCTATGACGGATATTGCGTTCTTGTTCCACCTCCATGGGGATTCTTGGCCCCGATCCATTTAATCCTTATTTTGCAGTGTAGTTGCAGTAGAAAAGATGTGAGTAACATATTTGGCAACAAAGTCCTTGGTAATAGCAGGTGCTGGATAATGATCACCACCGAGTACGTTTTCACGCGAGCATTTAGGACCTGACAGCATGGCGGCTAGACCCGAAGCATCTGTAACGCTATCAAGGAGGGTTATGATGCGCGCTAGTGGGCTTGCAAGATGATTAGCAGCATAGGAGGATGCACGCTGGTTCCATTTAGCAAAGGGAACGACTTCTTGGCCAGGGAGTGCAGCGCCGAAGAGATGGAAAAAGTGGTCAAAGCTGATTGGCGAAGAATCTATAAAGTCGTAGTCTCGGAAACCATCGCAAGTAGCATTTTGTTTTATGAGGTTAACAATGGTGTCGGCTACATAGTCGACGGGTAGTACAGCGCTTAGGTCTTGATCGATGGATGGGAAAGCACCGAGCTCAAGGCAGCCTGAAAGAAAGTTGTGAAGAAAGTCGCCGCGGTTAAGCCGAAAGTGGCTAGTGGCTAAAGACGCTGTGATGAATGGCAAGCGATAGACTGATGCCTTGGCGCCTCTCCAGCGCGCGGCGGCTACCATGCGTTCTGCTGTATATTTTGAAGCGGCGTAACTATATCTCCTGTCTCCTTCTACAAGCTCGTAGCCCATGTGCCTGGGCAGTGTAGAAATTGTAGAAACCACGTGAACTTGCTTAGCACGACCTTGAGAAGCTATACGCAGGATCTCGTAGGTACTAATAATGTTTAGGCTAAGATAATCTTCTAGTAGGCGCACCTAGTTAACAAGAGCACCTAAGTAGCAGATAGCGCTTACAGAATCTGCTAGGCTAGCGAATAATTCTTTAGACAAACTAAGGAGCAGCAGTGCTATGTCGCTAACAACAGAGTAAAGTAGACGCTTGTATTCTAGTTTCTACAAACTGTAACTAGTAAACGTAGAAATTAAGCGCCTATAAGCCTTGCTAATAAATTTAGCACGTACTAAGTAGTACATAGAATTACCTATCTTTAAAAATCTATAAGTAATAAATAAGCTTAAAAAGCCTATAGCGCTTGTAATAAAGATGCATGTTAGAGCAGAGGTATTAAAAAAATTAAGTTAAAACTTAAACCTAGCGTCTAAGTAGCTATTTCTAATAGCAACTAAATTAAGTTAAAAAGTATTAGAAAATAATAAATAATTGCTTTAAGTTTTTTACAGCTTAAAAAGAAAAAACTTACTTAAACTTTTAAAGTTAGTATATTAAAATACAAACTTAGCACTAAAGTTTAATTTAGTAAAGCTTACTAGTTAGTTATATACTAATATTGCTATAAGTAAGTTAATACTAATATTTTATAAAAGTTAATTAACATTAATTTATTTTACTAAACTATAGCTTAATGCTTTAAATATACTTATTTGCACTATACTTAAAATAATTTTTAAGTATTAGGTTTAGTTTACTATACTTAGAAAAGCATGTAAATCTACTTTTAATAAGCTATACTTAATAGTATTACTAACTAGTAAGTAATAAAAGAGTAGTACGCTTACTCTCTAGACTTAAAAATAATTTAAAAGCTTTTTTAAATTTAATTAAGCAGCTATAGTTAGTACTTAATAACTTTTTATAGTATATTTAAATAAAGCTAAACCTTTTTGCAAAGTATACGCGTTAAGACTAAGTTAAATAAAATAAGCTAAAGTACTTATTTTAGCTATAATTATATTAGCTGCTATGCTCTTAGTTTCTTACGCGTTATAAGCTACTAAAATAGCTAGTAATTTATATAAAAAACGCAGATATATAAAAGTATTAAGAAAAGTATTAGCTATAGTATAACTAGTATATCTAGGTATACTTATTATACTAAAAGTAGATAAGTATATAATAAAAAAATCTAAATTTATATTACGCGTAAAAAAGTATAAATACTATATACTATTAACTTTTACTTTAAGCGTAGAAGCAAAGCTTTATAAAGTAATTTTAAATATAATGCTATTACTTTATGCGCTAGCTATATAAATAATACTATATAATAAGTAGCTTTAGTTAAATGTTTTTATTATTTATAATAAGCTATTTATATTAGTGTTATTGCATGTAAAAATAGTAGCCTTAGCTTTATTATTAGTAAAATTAGCAGTTACTTTGCTTATATATAAAGTGTTAGTACTATAGTAAAATATAAGTATAATGTTTTTAACATAGTGCACTTGTGCTAGCTACTATATAGTTTAAACTTTAAGCTTTTTAAGCTTACTTATAATAAAAACTGCTTTATTACGTTATACTATAAAACTTTTATCTAGTATACTTAATTTTATATAGCGCAACTATAGTACTAGTAACTATTTTTTACGTATAGCTAATTTAAGTTTACTTTTTATCTTTAATACTATAATAAATATAAATAAGATAAAGTTTTTTTTTATGTTAATTAAGCGTAAGTATAATTTTAAATATTTTTTTTAAATAGTAGATATAAGGCTTTAAAGTAGTAACGTACTAAGCTTTAAAGTATTACTATTATTAGTATTAGTTTCTACTATAGAATTTATAATTTAAGTTAAAAAAATAGTAAAGCTAATTTATAATAGCGTTTAAAGCTATAATAAAGTAATACTCGCTATATTATACGCCTAGCATATAACATCTTTTATAGCTAAGCGCTATACATATATTAAATTACTAAAACTTATAGCTTTATTAATATTATTAATATAATAAGCTTAAATTTTAATGTTTTTTAAACTTATTTTAATATAAAGTATCTATACTTACTAAGTAGTATAAGGCCTATAAAGTATAGCTTATAAACTACTTTAAGCACTAGCATTACTAGCAGCTTTTTTCTACTTAATCTTTATTTAAAGCATATTTTTAAAGTTTAACTAAGTTAATTTCTAAAGCATACTGCCTTTTAAGTTATTATTTAAAATATTTTAGTTAATAGTTTTAAGTGCTTATGCAAAAGCATTTTTTTAAAAAGTATAAGTTAAAAGCTCTATATAATTATATATACTTAAAGAATTAAAATATTTATACTAGTTTATTAAAAGTTACTATATATGTAACGTTTCTAAGCTATAATATATTACTAAAATATTATATTTAAAAAAAGCAAGTAATAGCAACTAGGTAAGTGTTAAGGTCTTAGAGATCTCTAGTTAAGTTTTATAGATAACTAGCAGGTAACACTAAAGTAACAAAGGTAGAAGTATAAAGTAACAACTAGATTATATTTTTAAAAAGTAGGTTATAACTTAAAGTAAATACAAAAGGCTATAAAAGCTTCTTATCTACTAATTATATATATAAGGTTGTTTAGTGCTTACTAGCAAGCGCGCTTACTAGTAAGTATGCTTGTTAGCAAGCATAATATTACTAAAAAGCTAGTGTAAAGTTAGGCTTATTACTTACTAGCAAGCAGTTACGTGCTAAGTTATAAATATAGTTGTTTATAGGCGCTAGTAACTCTATTTCTCTTGTTGCTAGCGCTTGCAGCAGAGGAAGTAAAAAGCTAAATTAAAAGCTTTCTTTTAATTTTAATATTATCTTTTCTTTTTAAGACTTATTCTTAAGTTATGTAATTTTCTTAGCTGTACTTTTATAAGCTAAGCTTGCCCTGCTTATAGCGTATTTTAGAGGTTTCTATTATATTTTTAGATTTTAGAGCTTGCAACCTTTATTTTTATAAAGAAATTATTGCTACAAACTTTATTACTAAATTTTTTTACATTTATTATACTAAAGAAGGCTATAACTATTATATTATACTTAAAACTATATTAAAGTGCGCTAAGTGTATTCGCGCAGAAAAACCTTACATAAATATATTTTAAAAGTCTTTAAATTGTACTTGTAAAAAGTATAAAAAGAAAGTTAAAGAAAATAAAAAGGCGTTATTAGTAGTAATTACTTATCTTCTTTATAATAAAAAAATTTTAAAGTAGGCTAAAGATTAGGCTTGTCGCAAGGCCCTGTGTCTTACTTTTAAGTTAAAAAATAAAAAGAAATTAAAAATAGCGTAGGAGATTAATTGTTTAGCAGCAGATGCTTTTATTAGTTTCTCTTCTATAGTCTAGTCTACTATAAATTATATTAATAATATAGTAGGCGTGTTACATGCTTCTAAAGCTAGTACTTCTTAAAGTTAGTTGTTTTAAATTAGTAGTAGTTTTCTTTTCTTGTTATATTATCTAATCTTTTACTAACAGTTTGCTAGATATACTTCTAGTTTTTAACTGTTATTCTTGTGTAGGTATTCTTTTTATTTTATTAAATATTTTTTTTTTCTACAGTCTAACTTACATTGCAGTATTTTTTTAACTTTAAATTTATTTTTTTCTTTTATTTTATAGTAGAATGTATCTTATAGTAGCGTTCTACAGTTTGCTAGTTCTAGCAACAATATATAAAATACTAAGTGTATTTTTACATCTTCTAAAAGTTAAAGTTAGTAGTTAACTAAACTAATAGTAGTGTTAATTAAAAATAGTCTAACTTTAACGTAATCTAACTTTTTGCTTAGTTAATTTGTTCTAAGATTTTTTGTTTACAAATATACTTTATCTCTCTTTTTTAGCTAAAGTGCTATTTTTCTTTTCTTATTAACAAAAAAAATTAATTGTTATTATACTTTTTGCATATTTTCTTCTAGTCTTTTATATATTTCTTTATATTGTTCTACGTTTTTTAATGCTTTTTGTATTTTTATTATTAGTAACATTCTTTTAAAGAGATTTAGATGTCTTCTGTAGTTTACAAAGTATAGTATTTTACCTATTATTTTTAATAACTTGTTATTATATACTAACTGTGCTATAAGTAATAAAAAAATCTAGTTATTCTAGTTTTAGTTGCTGTATAGCTGTAGGTACGTAATTATAGTCTAATTTATACATTCCGTTTATTTATTTATTTCTAGATAGTAAGCTGTTAATAGCTTTTATTTTATTTTAATTATTACTATTAGTGTTATCTAGTAATTAAATGTAAAGAGCTTGTCTCTATTACTAATAATTGTCTTTAGTATTCTATAGTTTTATACTAACTTATCTAAAATAATATATCTTAACTACTTAGCAAAGTAGTTTTTGTAGAATAGAATTATAAGTGCATACTTAGTAAATCTATCTATAATTATAAGTATTAAGTTATAGTACACGTTTATAATAGGGTTCTGTAACATAGAAAATTTTATTATAAAGTTTATAGCAATGTTTTTCTAAAGTGCTATAAGCACTAAAATTAGTTGTATTTCTCTATACTTTGCGTATATATTATATTTATTCTTCTTATATTTATTGCAAGCCTAAATATACTGTGTAACTTTTTCTCTTATATTTATAAAGTTGTAGTTTCTTTATATATGTTTTATAGTTTGCTTAATTTCTAGATGTCTATATAGCAGGTTGTTGTAATGTTGTTATATTATTTATTTCTACTATTTTTCTAGTACATTGTTAGTAATTTGCATAATAACATTAACTTTTTAAAAATAGCCTAGTTCTATAGTTCTGTCTTAGTTTTCTTAAAGTATTACTTGTTGTACTTTTGTTTTTTTACCTATAATATTTATCTATTAGCTAAGCGCGTTAGCCCTTTTATTATCTTTTTTTAAAGTATATATTATTTTAAACTAATACTGTTCTAGTTTCTTAGCCTATTAAACCTATTATTAATTAAGATCTTTTGTAGTTGTAAAGGTAACAAGGTTTTTATAGTCTATAAAAATTAATAGTTTAAAACAGCTTTTGCAGTAAAT